GTTGGGGGAAAAGACGAACTACGAGCGAGTGAAGGCAAGGCTGCTGCGGCAGATGTAACGGACCGGGGTGTGTGGGAGAGGCGGAACCAAGCGATGATGCGGGAGAGGGTTGTCCCAGAAGGTTCCCCAAAGGCGGCAGCCCTTTGGCTATTTCCCTTTCGAAAAATCGATGTGAGGTTGAGGTAAAGGCCAGGCGACGACTACGGCGGTGGTGGCGGTGGTGGTGGTGGTGTGGGGGGGGGGGGGATATTTTTGGCGGGGGAAGGTGCACGGGGCGAATGGAATGGAAGAAACCGCGGCGGGGAGAGGAAAAAGGAACTTCCTTAGACCGCAGACCGACTTTCCCATTCTCTTCAAACAACACATACATACATACATACATACATACATACATACATACATACATACACACATACATACATATATAGAAAGGCGGCTGGAACGGGCGGTTGGAACCCCGCGACACAACAGCCAGCCGCAGAAAGCACAGCAGATCCAGGCGCAAGGGCCCCAACAGCGGCGGCGGTGGATAACGGGCTTCTCCTCCCCGTTCGCTATTTTCCGGCCCTGGGCTCCCGGCTTAGAAACCCACAGTGTAATCTAAGTCATACATACATACATACATACATACATACATACATACATACATAGAAAACCCAGCCCCATGGAACCCGAAACCCACCTCAGCCCGGAGAACAGGACGGTGCGCTGCGCTCCCCAACCGCCACCGCGAGGACCACCAAGCGGGCGCGGGGCAGACCAGTCCTGCTCCCCGGACTGTACGGCCTCGTCCACGGTGCCGTACAGCATAGCCTCCGTCACCGGCAGCACCTGCTCTCGCGCATATCCACCCATCCATCCGTTAGTTCGTCTGTCTGTCTGTCTGTCTGTCTGTCTGTCTGCCAATTTGGCTGAGTCTGTCAGCCCGTTTGTCAATCGGCCACAGTTTGATCTTCCCGTTAAAAATTTAGACATCACGCCCGCCACGAACCGGACCGTCAGGGGCCGCTCACTCACTCACTACTCACTCACTCACTTACCCAACACGGAGTGACGAAGACACACACGCACACGCACTCTCTCTCTCCCGTCCCACACCCCGCCCATCCCGCCCCACCTTGACCACATGTCCGCCTGCCGAGTCCAGCAGTGCTCGCACCACACCGTGCTCCTCGGGCCGGAAGCCGGCCAACACGACGGCCTGGAAGGGGGGCCGGTGCCCAGTGACCCCGGGGGGAGGTAAGAGAGGAATCCGGGGGGCGCGGGTTTCCCTAAGAGCAAGCAGCAGCAGCAGCAGCACCAGCAGCAGCAGAAGCAGCAGTAATAACAGCAGTTGCATGGCTCCAGCAGTTGCAGGTTGCAGGGCCCTAGCAGTGTAGCAGCAGCACGAGGAAGGTATGTATGTCAGACGTCAGATGCAAATTGCAGACACGGGTCACGTACGGACGTCATAAGCCCCCAGAAGTCCAGACATCCGTACCTCGGGTCCGTACACCTCGCCCTCCTCCTCAGCCTCCACGTCAATCGACCCCGGGCCCAAACCCAGGACGGGGCCCCCAAGGGGGGGCTGCAGCGTGCTTTCCTCTGACAGGCGGTCTCCCCGCTGCTGCTGCTCGGCCCATGCCCCCTCCTCCTCCTCCTCCTCCTCCTCATCATCATCCTGCCCCTCTTCCTCCTCTTCCTGCCCTTCATCCTCGAGCTCATCATCCACGTCTGTAGCTCCTCTGCTCTTGTACTCCCCGTCATCCTGAACAGACCCGCGGATCCAATGCGGCTGCCGTTGCAGCTGCGGCATGTTGTGATCAGACCGCGCCTCCTGTCGTGTGGATGTTGCTGCAGAATTCAGAGGGTTTGTACGATGGTTTCGGAGTGGAGCTCCGGAATTATCCGCGGAGGGCGGCCAGGCTTGCAGCCCGCTTGAACCCAGGTTGACGCCTTCGGGGTCTACTTCTGTTGCGTCTAGCTGCCGCAGGGCCTCCCACACTTCCTCTTTTGTAAGGCCCATCTCCTTGTAGTACTGTTCGTCCAGTACGATATCGTCCAGGGAGGGGTTGTCCTCTGGCCGTTGTCGGTCGTTAGGGTCCTCTGGAAGCAAACGGAACCGTGGTTTTCTGTTGTACGGCTGGGGCTGCTGGGCCTGCTGATGCTGCTGGGTTTGCTGCTGTGTGGTTGCGAGTTGGGGAGGAGAAGAAGGCTGCTGCGGCTGCGAGGATGGAGAAGGAACGTTACGTGAGCTTTGGGCGCCGCTGCCGCCTGGCGTGGCGGGCGCGGCGGCGGCGCCAGATGTGGACAGCCGACCATGCCTAGCACCAAATTCGTTAAGGGTGGATCCAAAGGTCTGCACACGATATCCGGAGCGGGTCAAGGATGCACGCCGGCGGCGACGGGCGGTTTCGTGGGAGAATGCTCGCAAGCCGAATGGACCCTTGTAAGCAGGCCAGCGACACGCTTGAGTGGGGTTACATAGAATGACTTCCATCTCTTCAAATTGAAAAAATAAACTGGCTTCCTTTCAGGGGCGGCTGGCTCAATCGTGAAATGCCAAATCGTTTGCGGCCATCGAAACACCCTACCGGAAATTATCCAGCTCAGGCAAATTAGGATAATGTTCAAATAAATACATTTCCTTGCTAACTGTGCTTGCCTGTCGAGCTGAATTCCGAGAGGCCGTACGGCGTTACTGGAAGCCTGCTAAACGTCGACTTCGTGTAGAAGTTTAAGTTAAGCAGCCTCGTCATAAAACTGAACCCATATTATTCGTTAATTGCCAGCTCCGTCGCGGCGCATGGTCAACCCCCGCTGGTCAAACTGCTGGACAATGTCCCCAACAGCCAAAGCCGCTGACGCGTGTAGCAAACAAGTAGGCCCTTATAATCTATTAAATCGTTTTACAGCTGCATCGTGACTAAATGGCTAGCGAGGACCTCAACTTACGGGTCCAACAGCTGTCGCAGTCGCTCTTGGATAAAGAGCGCGATCTCGTAGCCAGCCGGAATAGCCATGCCTTCCTTAAACAAGACTTGGAAGCTGCACAAGCGCAGCTGTCAGCAGCCCGCGAGGAGCTGCGGAATGAAGCGACAAAAAACTCGCTATTGGAGCAGCGCCTCAAGCGCATAACAGACGAGCTGCAGCAGACCCGCAACGATCTGGCTAGCTCCGTATCGGAGCGTGACACGCTTAACCGAACACTTGGGTGGGTTTGGACCGAAGCCTTTGCATCACGCACCCCGGGGATGAAGGGCCCTCCTCTCTCCCTTTTGTTAACCCTGCTCCTTCCCCAGGGGGCCAAGCCCTGCATTCCCATCTTCCCTCTCTAGGCCCTGCTGGCTCACCCTTTCTCCTGTCCTTTCTGATTGTCCTTCCTCCCGGGCCCCCGCATCTCGCGCTAGGCACCTATTACTCCGTCACCTCCCACCGTCTCGGAAACATCACCGTTTTTCTTCTTCCCGTCCCCCCCTTCCCGCTACCTGCCCAGGCGCGTTCATGACCAGCTTAACAACCTTAAGTCAGAATCTGCGGCCAAGAGCCTCCAGATCACAGAACTCCAGCTCCATTACGATGGCGTCCTAGCTGCCAAGGAGGAGTCCATCCGCAGCCTTCAGGCGCTCCTAGACAGCCAGCAAAAGCAGCTTCTGGAGCAGCAAGCCGTATGGGAGGAACAGAAACGCAGTCTCAAGGCCAGTTTGGTGGACTCCTCCTCCGACAAGCGCGCCGCCGCAGGCCAGTTGGCGCTGGCACAGGCACAGGCCGTCGGCGCGGCGGCACAAGCCGCCGCGCTGGCGGACCTGCGCGCGAAGCTGGCCGCGGCTGAAACCGCGGCACTGAAAGCCGCGGAGCGGGAACACAAGCTTATTGAGTTACTGCGACACCGAGAACGTCAGGTCGTAAAGCTAAAGCAGAAGCGGAATAGCCAGAGCGGCGCCGCCGCCACCGCCGGCCGTAACACTGCTGGCGGCGCCGCCGCCCCCGTGGCAGCCGCCAGCCCCGGCTGCGGCAGTGGCGGTAAGCCACACCGCGAAGTCGTCGAAGACCGTGAACGCGGTGGAGCCGACGCTCTTGGCGGTGGCGGTGGACGCAGCGGCGGCGGGGGCGGTGTCAGCATCGCCGCACGGCTCGCCGGCGCCAGGGTTCTGTTCGCCGGAGGCGTTAGCAGCGAAGAGGACAGTTTCTTTGCGGACACAGCCACATCGCAAGAGATGAGTGCTGCTTCTCCGCTTCGACGATCTGGCACGACAACTGGCGGGTCCAAGGCGTCTTCGGCCCGGGACAGCTCCAGCAATAACTCCCTGCACCTGGCGTTGCAGGTAGGACAATCGAAAGTTCTAGCGACCGACAATCGAAAGTTCTAGCGACCAGGCCTTGTCAAGAGTCAGCAGACCACCAAGAAAACTGAAACACCTAACAGGCATATGGTCCGAAATCAAATGAGATTTTTTCCGGGCTTTAACAAAATGCCGGGAAACACGAGCAGCAGCGCAGCGGGCCTTGAAGCACTGCAGGTTTGTCCTCATATCGGCATGTGTATGGTGGACGAAAACACCGCATACCTGCGATGCCGCACGAACGGCAGCCCTCTGCACACGTTTCCACACACACACACACACTCTCTCTCTCCGGGACGTAGCCGCTCACATACCCATGCGATGCAACTGAGCGGCGCATCATCCTTTCCCCCGGGGGGGGTGATCCCCACGTCCCCCCGTGGGCCGCACGCAGGAGGAACGGCGGCGGCACGAGGCGGTCAGGTCCCGGCTGGCCTCTGCGGAGCGGGAAGCGGATGACTTGCGGACGCAGCTGTCCAGGCTGCGGGCTCAGGTGCGTGTCTGTTTTATCTTGTGTTAATAAGGGGGCTCCCCGTGAGTCATGGCCCTCCCAGGGCTTTGGAGAAAAAAAGCCGCAGACTTGGGTATGGATCCGGGGCGAGAGCAGATTCTGTGTACATCGGGCCGTCGTGGAAGCTTCTGGAATGGAAAGGAACGTTGTCAACCCTGTGGATAGGGTGCGAGTGGGAAGGGGTGTTCAACACACCGAGTTTGCTGTATGCAGGAGGTGAGGGAGGTGTGTGTTTCAGAGATATCGGTGATAAACTTAATGCCCGGTGCGGTGGCTGGGGGGTTAGGGTGGGAGGTTGGAGGGCTGATTGCCGGGGGTGCCTGGTAAGGACGACCGTGCGGGGCTGGGCTGGCAGGGCTGGGAAGAGGAATGGGCTGATGAGGGAAGGGGAGACGATCTACTGGACGATGGCCAGCCTTGTCTTCCTCCGCTAGGGCCTGAAAGCTGAATAATGCACCTGGCGAGCTTGGTAACGTTAATGGCGGGGATGATGAGCTGTCTCTCTACTTCTCCGTCGCTGTCATTGTCAACGACCTGCGTTCCTCGTTGCCTTGGTGGTGCTGGTGGTTATACACAAAATGCCGTTGCAGTTGGCGGAGGCGGCTGCTGCTGCTGCTGCCGGGTCTGGCGGAGGCTCCAACGTGCAGCTGGCGGATGAGCTGCTGCGTGCGCACCGCAAGATTCAGGTAGCGACGTTGTGTGTGTGTGTGTGTGTGTGTGTGTGTGTAAGGGCGGGGAGCCGGAGGTCCTGTTCTCAAAGGAGAGAGAGAGAGAGGAATGGCGGGATCGAAGTCCTGTGTGCCCTGCGATTTGTGCCCTGCAATCTGTGCTGCAATCTGCAGCCAGCAAAGAAGGAAGCACTTCTATTTGCATCCGCTGCAACGCAGCCGGTCATTTACCGACACTGTTGTCTGGTGTGGTCGGTTGCTGGCAGTTGGGATCCCCCCATGATCCGTCCCCGACATCGGTGTTATCCCTTCTTCACTCAATCCTCCCCTTCCCACCTAATCCACTGTCCTCCCTCTCTGGTAACTACTGACTTCCCGCCTTCCTGACAGGAGCTTGAAACCCAGCTCAGACGGGCGAGGGACGGAGTCGTCATGGCCGCGTCCGAAGCCGCGGCGTCCACCTCTCCCACAGTCAGCGCCTCCCGGGTCGGCGGCGGCACCCCCGACGGCAGTGGCAGCGGCGGCGCCGCCGACCTGCTGACGCCGCTGGAGCATCTGGCCCTTGTACGGCAGCGGCTGGTACGGCAACGGCAGGAGTTCGAGCAGTTGCTGGAGCGCGTTGTGGCGGGCGATGCGGTGTTGCTGCGTAGCGCTCCTGGCGGGGTGCTGATGCCGGAGGACGTCAAGGGCCTTATGGAAAGGCACCTCTCCAGGGTGGGTGGGTGGGTGGGTATGTGCGGTTCTGCATCATCCCCCCGTGTGTGTGTGTGTGTGTTTTGCACGATTGGGTCACGAAGACGCGCGTGCAATGCCTGCCCTGTTACCGCCGCCATCACCACAACCCATCATCCGCATCTCTATCAACAACAGATACAGACACCTTACGGCCCCGACCCCACCTCCTCCATCCCTCTTGTCCACCAGTCTCCCTTTAATCATCCTCCCCCCTGCCCCTCTCTTTGGACAACGCTGGCAGTTCATTTCTGGTTTCCTTGCATGTAATCCCCCTCCCCCTCCCTCGGCAGCACCTTCACTCGTTCGTGGTTCGTCTTTCCCCCTCCCGCTCCACATCCCGCTCAATATCCCGCCATACCCCTCTTTTCCGCAGATCGACACGCTGGCGTCCATGTCAGCTCTTCCGGAGGGACGTCGCCTTGGTGACCCCCTAGGCGGTGGCTTCTGCGGCGGCGGCAGCCAAAGCCAAGGCCATCAGAACCCAGGCCAGCATCAGCAGCAGTACCAGCACAGTCTGTTTGTGGTTCGAGCGGCGTGGAGTACCCTGCGGCGGGCGCTGATGTCGTTGCAGGAGGGGGTGTCGTCCTCGCTGGACGTCAAGGCCAACCCCGCGGTAGCCTACCTGCAGGTGGGAGCTGGAGGGGGAAGGAGTGCGATCAAGGGAGGGAAGGGAAGGGAAGGGAAGGGAAGGGAAGGGAAGGGAAGGGAAGGGAAGGGAAGGGAAGGGAAGGGAAGGGAAGGGAAGGGAAGGGAAGGGAAGGGAAGGGAAGGGAAGGGAAGGGAAGGGAAGGGAAGGGAAGGGAAGGGAAGGGAAGGGAAGGGAAGGGAAGGGAAGGGGAGGGGAGGAAAGGGCGGCCTGCTGCACAGCTCACTCCATCCGTCCTGTCTTTTCCCTTCACCCATCCTGTCTTTTCTGCCTGGTCTATCTGTATTTTTTAGGCGTTTCGCTTGCTTTCCAGACTTGCTTTTTTTGTCCATACGCCCTTTGTTGCCTGCCTATTGATCTGCTGCCGTCCGCCTTTCCTTGCGCCAGGGGGCCGACTTCCTGTCCCGCATCATGCGCGAGTGGACTGTGGGCGACAAGGTGGCGCTGGATACGGCAGTGGAGAGCTCCATGAGCGCAGCGGTGGCGCTGGTGCAGGAGGCGGCGACGCGGTTGCAGGTACGCGGCGCTCCGGCAAGCACAACGGAGGTAAAAGAAAGGAAGAAGCGGTCTCCGGACGAAAGCACGAGGGCACGAAGCTACCGGCATGAAAAGGAATTCTCCTCAAGGGAACAGTTGCGGGATGGATAGTTACCGAAATCGATGGCAAGGTGACAAGCGGACCCAGATAGGAACCAATCGTGATTGAGCCGGCAAACAGGACATAATGTGTGAGTGGCGCGCCCGAGTATTGTTCCAACACGAACCGATCTCCGGGTAGTAGCGACGGCGTGTGGGAGACGAAAACCCATTGGGTTGGGTACCCTGCTGGGAGAGGGGTGGGTTGGGGTGCGAGCGACGCCGTGCTGAGGCCAACGGTTTTCCGTCTTCCTTCGTACGCACAAGTCACACACACACATGGCATGCCAACCTCGACCCTCTTTCTCTCGGCGCAGTTCATCATGCAGCAATACACGCGCATGCATGACCGTGTCCTCGGGGAAAACCCCCTGGGGGAAAACCCCTCTCCCATGTCCATCCGAGCGGTCTTCCCCCCTATCCCTGTTTACCGCATCGCTTATCCATAAACAAACCCACATATGCACGCATATTTTTGCCATGTTGCCTCCACGCCTGCCTCAAACCTCCTCTTCCTCCCCGCCCAGGCCCATGCCGTAGATTCGGGTGTGGTACGGCAGCAACTTCAGGAGGCGCAGGACGAAGTGGCTCAGTTGCGGCTAACTAATAACATGGTGCAGGCGGAGGGCGATCGCCGTCTTGCGGAGAAGCGGGTAGAGTTGGAAGAGCTACGGAGCGCGATGGAGCGGGCACGGTCGGAGGCGGCGGTAGCGCAGGCGAGTGGTTGTGTGGGTCGGGAGGCGAGTGGTTGTGTGGGTCGGGAGGCGAGTGGTTATGTGGGTCGGGAGGCGAGTGGTTGTGTGGGTCGGGAGGCGAGTGGTTATGTGGGTCGGGAGGCGAGTGGTTATGTTGGGGGTTCGAAAGAGGATAACGAGGGCATGGGGTTCCAGGAGGCTCGAGGGTGGAGGCACCCCGCGCGGCCGCGTGATCGTAATCACTTCAGGAGGCTGGGCTGGGCGGTTTGGATGGTTTGGAAGGTTTGGATGACCGCTGACCCAGCCGGAAGCAAGGAGGGCCCACCAACTTGCTCCCTCCACTGCGCACTCCACCTACAGTCATTCACACTCACACGTCCTGCATGAAAGCCGCCGGCTCTGTTAGAGGGCGTTACAGCCGCCGGCTCTGTTAGAGGGCGTTACAGCCCCCGGCTCTGTTAGAGGGCGTTACAGCCGCCGGCCCAGGGATTCTGGTCCCACGTTCCTGTACCCTGGGGTACTGCGGTACTGCAGAAAGAGGCGGCTGCGCGTCTGAGCGAGTTGGAGGCGGCCCGGACCCGAGCGGAGGCGGCCGAGGCGGCTGTGCAGCGGGCCGAGGCGGCGGCGGCAGCGGCAGATGCGGAGCGCAACCGGCTGCGAAAGAACCTGACGGCGCTGGAGGGAGACAAGGTGGGTGCGGATCCTGGACTTTGACGATTTTCTCCCTAGGCGCTAGTTTACTTTCGCACATCACACATTGCGTCTTTTTTCCCCTCTCTTTCTTTCTCTCGCTCGCTCGATCTCCCTCTCTTTCCTTCCTCTTCGTGACTCTCAGTTCAACGACTAGAGGACGATAATGGCCTTGCGTTTGACTGCCTTGCTCCTTTGCTTCTCCCGATTCAGTTTCAATGCACAGAGTATATGTGCCGGGTGGTGGTGGTGGAAAGGTAGGCCCTCTTCCCCCATAAGCATCCGAGTAAGAGCCTTGAACTCCAACCCGCCTCGCCGGCCCTCCTGTCCTTATTGGCACTCGATCCTCTGCTCCCTGCATGTTTATTTCCCCTCTCCCTCTTCTGCACCCCCCCCGGTGCCCGCTCGGCCGCCCGCCCGCGCACACATGGCTGCCCCTGACAAGTGTGCAGGGCAGTGCCGAGGCCGCTGCTCACTCCAGGGAGGAGGAGCGAATGAAGCTGATGCGAGCACTGAGTGACGCGAACGCCACTATTGCGCTGCTGCACGACAGGTGTGCTTGTGTGTGTATGTGTGTGTGCGTTTGTGCGTTTTGTAAGCTGCTTGTGTGGGTGTGGGAAAAGGTTAGAACGGCATTACCAGAAGGAAAAAAAGAGCTCGGGGGCTGGTTTTTGTGTATGTACGTGTGTGTGTGCGTGTCGGAAGTGACCATCGCCTACGTATGTATGTGTATGTGTATCGTTGTGTATTGTATTAGACCGGGCCTAACGCTGAACCTTGGCGGGAGGAAGCAATGGCCCTCATCTATGGAGGCCTGCGCACACAAACACGCGCACACGCAGTGTTCTTCGCTTCACCTGTCTTTCCCTGTGCGCCTTGGGCATGAGCGGTGTTGCGCTTCCCTTCCTTGAAAAGTGTCCACACATCCCCACCCCCCTCAAATCCCCCCCCCCCACCACCCGCACTGCTTCCCCTCCAAATTCTAAACCCCACGTGTTCATTGCTTCACGCTTCAGGCTGGATGCCTACCAGGCTGTCGGCAACAGCCAGATCAACGCCCTCAAACATAAGATCCGTGACGTGGTCACCGCGCTGGAGTCGCCCAGCCTGCCGCAGCTCCATGCCATGATGGTGACGGCGGCTGCCGACGGCGACGCGGCCGCCGCTGCAGCAGACGGCGCCGACCTGGCGGCAGCGGCGGCGGCGGGCGTGGGGCCGGTTCGCATCATCGCCACCACCACCGCCGCCGCCAACAACAGCGGCACTCCGCGACGCGCGGCCAGGCGGCCGGGGGGTGTCCTGTCGGAGACCTCTCTGAACTCCCTGGCGCTGGGGTAGGTGGGATCCGGAAGACTGCGGTAGCGTTAGCGCACATGAGAGAGCACACATAGATGACCAAGAGGACTCGGCTTGAAGACCCAGCTTGTGCAAACCCTAAAGAGAGGGACTCGCACAAAGGAACGGAAAAATACTCCGTGAGAGGGCTCAAAATTTACACACATAACGGCACAACGAGACTATGTCTATGACTATGTTTCTGACTATGTCTATGACTATGACTATGACATAGTCGCGAAGAGGATAAATGGATACGCGTTGTCTGTCTCGAAACCCTCTGCGTGTCTCTCAAGACCTCAGTCTCTCAGACCTTTTTGAACCCATGCGAAATGAAGCACTAGGGTTGCTTTCTTTGGCGCCGTAGCTGCGCGCGCCACACGCACACACACACACACACACGGTTTCGGAGCTGTTTTTATTGTCGTCTGGTCCCGTGTACCCAAAAACAGGATTCGGACGCCAAGCAACGGCGGCGCTGCCGCCGAAGGCGGCGCAGACGATCCGATCGCTGTGAGCGGCAGCCTGGTGGCGGCGCTGGACTCCGCCGCCGTCAGCTGCAGCGCCGCACTTCACCGCCTGGCGCTTCTGGAAATGGCGCACCACGACGTGGATCGCGGCGTTGCGGCGGTTGCGGCGGTGCGGGCGCAGCTGGCGAGCGCCACGGCGGAGATGGCCGCGGGCAGGTGGATGGTGGATGGGTGAGGGGTAGGGACAGCAGGCGTGATGTGGTGTGAGCATGTGTACTTAGCTGACATGGTGGCGTGATGTGGTGTGGTGCACAGGGTTTCCTTCGGCGATGTCCTCCTCACGGAGCTGCTACACATGCTGGATGACTCCGCAAGCATGCCCTTCGCCGGCGGCGCGGCGGTGGCGAGTCAAGGGCCGTCACCGGCCCATGGGTCGGCTGGGTTGCACACGCCGCGCGCGAAGAGCGCCTCCTCGGCCCCATGGGCCGGCGGCGGCGGTGGCGGCGGCACGTGCAGTGCAATGGCACTGCGGGCTCAGCTGGCTGTTGCACGGGACCAGAGCCAGCACTTGATGCGGCACCTGAAAAACATGGAGGGGCTGCTGCTGGCACTCAAGGTGGGGCTGGTTGTAGGATTGAGGGAAGCGGCGAGTAAACAGGGAAACAGCGGGAAAAGAAGGGAGTGAGGGAAGGTACCAGTACTGGTAAAATCCAAAATCCCAAACCCTAAAGACTAAAACACTAAGTACCAGTACTGGTACTGGTGTTGAATGAGGTGTTGCTACTGATCTCTACACCCTCATCCCTGCCCTCCGACTCTTCCATCCATGCTCAGTCCGCGTTGCCCGAGTGGCTTGAGCTCGCCACCGCCCGTCTGTCCGCCCGACACCGCACGGAGCTCAGTCGGCTGCGGGGCACCCTGGGGGGGCAGCTGGCGGCGCTGCGACGGGACCTGCGGGACATGAAAGCCAGCTGCCACGCCACCTTGGCGGACACGGCGGCGGCGGCCGAGGAGGCGCTACAGCAGGTGCGTCGTGGTGGCGGTGATGGGGGTGATGGGGGTGGTGTGATGGTGATAGTGGTAGTAGTGGCGGGATTGTCGTTGAGAGCAGGCAGACGACGACATGTGGGTGTTGGGGTGAAAATGGATTGGAACAGATAAGAAAAACGCAGCATAGGAAGGTCAGCGAAGACGGGGTCACGCCCACCTGGGGAGGGGGGAGGTGTTGGGAACACTTTTTACTGTGATGTGTTGTGTCGTTGCCGAAAAGGAGGTTTGGAAAGGGTTTTGGAGGCGCGTGCATGAATGGGGGGATGGAGTATTCAGTTAGTGTACCTCCCCTTCGGTTTCCCTTTAGGGGATGAAGTCATCCCCTTTAGGGGAACCAAAGGGGAAGCATGCCATTTTCATGCCGCAAGTGTTTACCCCTTGGCCTAGCCTGGTCTGGCCCAATTGATGGCCCGACCTGGCCTGGCCTCGGCCATTGCCCTTCACAGCTGGACATAAGCTCTTTTAGTCGGCGTCGCTACGTTACAAGTTACAAGTTCCGCACACAAGTGCGGGTGTGTCCGTAAAACCGGGGGGGCCATGGCCAGCGGCGCGTCGGTAATGCGCCGTGAATGTCCCCATGGTGCCCTTCCACCCTTCCACCGCCTGGGCACCCGCCCCCCTCTTGCCCTGGCAGCAGCTTCACTCGTTTGTGGTTCGTCTTTCCCCCCCCTGCAGGCACGTCGTATGGCTGCCGCCGCTGACCTGGATCGCACCGAGGCCGCCAAACACCTGGAACACCTCACTGAGGATCTAAACAACCTCAGCGACAATATATCCACCGTTGCTGCCACTACTGCTGCTGCCACCGCCGCCGCCACCGCCACCGCCGTCGACGGGTCCTCAGCACCACATCCAATACACACCAATACCGCCGCTACTGCAACGTCGCCGGCTCCAGCTTCTCCGTCCGCTACCGCTACGGCGCGCGGTGCAGCATTCGGCGGGGCCAGCGGCGGCGACGACGACGGCGCGCAGCCGGGCGGCCTGTCGTACACCTTGGTCCGCACGGTGGTGTCGGCGGCGCGTGTGCTCCCGGACCTCCGCGCCAGCTGTGAAAAAATTCGGCGTGACGTCGTAATTCTGGTCGCGGAGCGAGACCGGGTGCGGGCCGCCGCCGTCGCCGCCGTCGCCAATACGACATTGGTCGTACGGTCGGTGGCGGAGGCAACGCCGCTACCGGAGGTGCTTGTGCTAGCGTTGCTGGTAAGGAGCGCTGAGTAGTGGCTTGTTGGCGGCAGGATGCTGGTGTGGGTAATGCTTGTCGGCAAACCTCTTCTCCAACGAATGCCTCTGGGGCATGTGCAGTACCGGGCGCGATATGGGCGTTTGGAGAAGGGAAGAAGTGGGTTTTGCCCACGTTGCCGTCCCCCCGGCCACCGTTGGTTGGGGGTTGCGGATTGTGGGTACGTCATCTGCATTACCTCATGGACATCTCTGCTCTCTGTGAGGCAGTGCAGTCCCTCTTACCCCCTCTCACCCTTTTTTCCCAAAGAAATCACAATGCCCCAGCGCGGCTCCCTCAAGACCGCAAGAACCCCTTGTTATCTTCCGTTTTTATCATCTTACGAGTCTTATGCCTCCTCTTGATCCCCGCTCCCCTTCCATTTTGCCTTCGTTCGTCCCTTTCGTATCCCTCTTTTTCTTATCCCTCCCCTTCTCCTCCTCCTTTACGCGTAATATGTATCCTTCAGAACCAGCTCACCTCTCCGGAGCAGGGCCTTACGCCCTTCTGGTGCGCCAAGCTGCGGGAGTGCGTGGCGGCGCAGATGGCGGCGGCCCAGGCGGCCGCTGCGGAGGGGGTGGTGAAGTTGCAGGTGGAGCCGCTGCGCCTTGATGTGGACCGTCTCAACAGCGAACTGAAGGCCTCCAAGCGCAGAATCGCGCTGCTGCAGGTGGGCCGGGCCACCGTTTGCTCCCGTCCCCCGGTCGTTTCCCCGTCCTCCTCCTCCTCTCCCTTCCCTCTCCTCTGCCACCTCCGCACCCTCCAATTAAAACTCATGACACCGTCTCCAATTTTTATTAAAATTATTTACGTCATGTACGCCGACACTCTCCCCTGGGGGCGCCTCTGTCAACCCCCGAATCTTCACCTATCCCGTTCCGCACTGTCCCCATTCCTTAGGCGTGATCGGTGATTTCCAAAACCAGCAACAAAATTCGTGATTCGTGAGATTCGGTGGTGGGAATCCGTCCTTGCTTCGCATCGTCATCAACAAACAAAACCTCCCAATCCATAGGCCCAGGCTGCTCGCTTTCTTGAGGACAGCGGCACGGCTCTGGAATCGTGCCGGAGGGCTGCGGGCGAGGCGGCTGCTGCGGTGCTGGATTCCGTCATGGCGGGAGTGCGGGAGGAGGTAGCGGCTGTGCGGGTAGGTTTGGGAGGAGCCTTTAGTGAAGGTAGAGGCTGGTGGAGGCTCGCCTTAAATTGTGAAAAGAGCCTCTGCACTCGTTTAAAACAAAGCCGATGATGACGCATCAAATGAACGGCCGCTTGGTAAGAAGCTGCCTCCTCATTTTGCACAAACAGGATGAAGACATCCCGGTCATGAACCGGACATGGGTGTTAGACACAACGCATGCGGTTATACCGACTCAACACATACACATACACAACACACATGCACCGCCTCCACCCTCGGCTCCACGCCGGTTCTTCTGCATCGCCCCTCTCTCTGTCTCTCTCTCCCATCGCCCGGCCAACAGTCGCAAGTAGCTGAATTGGAATCGGACAGCTCAGACGTGCTTCGAAAGACCAACGCCGCGTGGTCTGAGCAGCTGGCGACGGTGCGGGCCAGCAGCTCGGCAGCGGTGGCGGCGCTGGAGGAGAGTGTCACCGTGCTGCAGTCGCAGTTGGGCAGTGAGGCGGATGCATACGATGCACTCAAGGCGGAGAGCGAAGCGGCGGTAAAGGTACGTGTACAATATCTGCTGCTGCTGACGTGGGTTCGGGCCTGAGGAGGCCGCTGGATGCTGAGTTGCGCTGGGGGCCTGGAGTGGAGTGGGGTGGGGTGGGCTTGAGGTGGGCTAGGGTGGGCTAGGGTGGAGCGGGGTCGGGTCAGGGGGAAGTGCAGGGGAGCGTATCGCGGCGGCGCAGCCACTCTCACAACGCTGGCCCCAGGATTCCGAGTGCGGGGCGCACTCCAGGGCACCATGTACTGGAGCTACCGCGCGTCATGCGAGCACTCCCCCTAACCTACCGCCTCTTGGGGGACCTTGAATTTGAAAGGAAAACCTTGTATTTGTCAACATCATCCATATCTGAATCTTTACCCAGGTCATAACACTTACTTTGCTTAATCCTAGGAAAAGTTTATGCCCCGAATTCCGGTTGAACCTGGCGAATGGGATAGACCTTTTGCCTTATAATACGAGCCCTAGCTGCGCCTGAATGCACCAATACCTTTGCGTCCATGCAATAAAGCCTTGACCGGTCACTTCAGTTCAACCCTAAGCCTTCCATGGGGCATCTATCTATCTATCTATCCATCTATGACCGGAATGTGGCACTCGGTGTCTTACAGGAGGCGGCTGCTCGTGTGGCGGCGGAGGAGCAGCGCCTGCGCACCCTAGCCGCCGAACTGGCGGCGGCCAAGGAACGCTTGACGGCGCTCGAGGCGGCGGAGACCACTTTGGAGGGTGAGAACCGCGGACTTCGCAAGGCGCTGCGGCAGCGGGAGATGCTGGCTATGGGGCTGATGCAACAGCAGCAACAGGACGAAGAGCAACAACAGCAGCAGCAGCGCCAACGTTCCGGGGCAGGAGTAGCTTTCACTTCGCGCGGTGGAATGCGGGACTCCACAGGGGCGTGAGTTGTATGAGTGCGTGGGAGGGGGACCCAACGACTGGACAAAAATCGAGGGATGATGGAGGGAAGGGGTTGAAGGGGTTCGTTCAGGTGCGGAGCGCGGCGGAGGCGATGGCGGTGATGGAGAGGGAAAAGGTGGGTGGTTAGGGGTTGCGAGTGGAGAGACTTCGGGGTGGCGTTGTGAGTGGAAGTGGAGAGGGCGATAAAGGGGGCCAGCCAGCACTGAGTGATGCCTGTATGTGGTTGACCGGGTGGAAGAGCAAACGCCTTCGTGTGTGGAGACAAAGGGTTTCAGTTCTTTTTCAGGAAACCTCGAAGTAACGAGGTGGGGGGGAAGATGACAAAGATATGCGCTTAACTGAGCGATACTGTGGTATAACAGTTTATTACATACTCGTCTACTCGACCATAATGACAAGTGTGGGTGGGGACTGGGGAGGCACATCATGGGTTTTTGCTTGACTTGGTGTTTGCACAACGGCTTCTTGAGAAATTTGTTGTACGCCAACGAAGGGATGAAAAGGGATGAAAGTCCACCGCGCCAGATCCTTACGGATGCGCCACGGAAGAGACAGGCGCTGTCAAGCGCTTAAACATCCCAACCTGCTGCGCGACATAACTGCGTATTGGAGGAAAAAGGTGTTAATTCATCGAATGTGGGGGGGCCATGCAAAGCAAAACGCGGTTTCAACGCAACCGGGCGCAGTGGGGTTGGGATCCAGGAAATCGCAACAACCGAGCCGGTGTTGAAAGATGATAGACGAAGTTGGAGTGCGCCTGCCGCCTGTGGGTGGGTGAGGTGGTGTCCGTGCCTTGACCGCCCATTCGTTGTGGTTGGGCTGGTGGAGTGAAGACACATGGGTTGGGTATGGAGGGGAGATTTTGGGGGAGAGAAAGGGGGCCCGACTGGGCAACTGTCGTGGTTCGGTGGGGTGAGGTGGAGTGTGTTGCATTGTCGGGGCTTCGATCCATTCCCCGTGGTTGCATGCGTGTGGTTGTGAACGTGTACGCGGATATTTGTGTGTGAACGTGTGAATAGCTGTGCACTATGCTGAGGCGTGCGGACACTGGGGGGTCCCGTGAAGATTGCACCTGGTTGGAAAGGGAGTGGATCGCCCAGACATTGCGGCCATGGGATAAGGATGAAGCCCTGATCGTTGCCAGGGCCCGACGGCTGCGGCGAAAAACTTCTGCCGCTTCTTTCACCACCTTAAAACTAAGCACCTAAGCAGCCTTTTTTTGGCCCTGAACCCACGCCCGACTGCCCTGATTGCTTCGATGTCGGTGGTATTTAGTACTGCTTGCATGGATTTGCTTTGCATTCCTGACCTCCCTCACGTTTCCCCTGGGGTCCTCACTCCCCAGGTCTTGTATCTGGTTCCCGTTGCCTGCGCCTCCTTTACCAATTCCACCGGCGTGTTTTCCTCTCCACAAGTGCGTTTTTCTCTTCACCTCGGTAGACATATTGTGTGCAGGGTGCAGAGGCTAAACCAATGCCGTGTTTCACGACAGCTGACATGTGCACGGCTCAGGTGTCTTGACTCGCGTGGTCGTGAGTCCAATGCACCCAACGCACCCCTGCCCCTGTCCATGGGATAAGAGCAGGCCGAAAGGAAGGACTCTGCGCGAAAGGACACAGGCCATTGTAAGGCCTAATCCATCCCTAAACCTATTCAGTCAAGCGCCAACAGCTCAACTGGGACCTCCGTGACCACAGCGCTTGGCCGTTCCCATTCCAAATCACACCAACACTACATTTAGCATACCGCGGCCCAAAGGTAATTTGGACTGACCACTGCGCCTCCCAGGACGAAGAAAGACGGGAGGAAGCCGGGGGCTCATGTGGCCGCCTGGCTGCAGCCACCGCTTCATGGCCGGCTGTACCCACCTTCCCCCATTCGTCCTTCAGTCCGTGAAGCTCTTCTGTGGAGCGTTATAAAGTCTCTTCATGCTTCATGGCCCTAGTGAAGCAATCAGCCAGCCACAGGGCAATGCCTCAGCCCACAATAGCTCAAAACAATCCAATACAAGCGCTTAGGACGGGACCATCCACCTAAAAACACACAATAAAAAGAGGTGGTGCATTGTGTTAAAAGAGGCGGTTTCCTTAAGGTGCATAACTTGTGGTACCGATGCACAACAAAATTCGCCTCTTTCCAAAATTACAAAGCAACATCCAGCAATATCCCCGCCATCCAGCGGGCTCTTCACTCTTATTCGATTTCCGACTCATCATAATTTGCTCCGCAGCCGCGGCAGAGCCGCTCCTCCCCTTCCCGCTCCTCCTCTTCCTGCTGCCGATGCCGTCGCTTCTTGCCGCCGTAGCTGTTGCTCCTGCTGTCGCAGCTGCAGTTCCTGTTGTCGATCCTGTAGCCGTAGCTGCGCCGCATACTGCCGTGCAATGGCGCTGCCGATACGGGCGTTGTTCTTCACCAATTTAATGTTGGCATCCAGGGAACGGCCCCCCGTCAAGGTGCGAACTCGCTCCAACAAAAACGGGGTCACCTGCAGCAAGGAAACCATCCGAGCGCCAACACCCCCAACGCCCGTCAAAGGGCTAGCATTACCGCCACCACTACTATCACCACCACCACCAATACATCATCACTAATCTGGGGCCAACAGCTGCAGCACGGTCGTCCTACGATATCTCCCCATACCCCCATGTGTGTATGTATGTATGTATGTTGTTACAGGGTGGTTAACTTCGCCAGCGGCCCCCTTTCCCGAGGCAGTCCCTGCTCTCCCCTGCTAGAGGGGCACCCTAATCCGTCACCCCATCCGACTTCAGAATGTATTCGTTGGGTTCGGCAACTCACCACCAGCATCCAACCAAATCTAGCGGATCAACGGCGCATCAACTTTGTTCCTGGTCAGCTCGCAAGTTGATTTTATCACGTCCTACACCATCCATAAGATGGGGGGCCACCTCCCATTTCAACACTCCTCAAACACCCGAGGAGCCGGCTGGCGGATTTGAACCCGGGTCGGCCGGGAGCAGAAGTCAGGCCTTAACCTCTGCCAGCCGCCTGCCTATGAATGTATGCGTGTATGTATGTATGTAAGGAAGTGAATGCCCAACTATGGAAAGGTGCCGAAACCAGGCCGTCGTGGTCCCCTCACCCGTTCGGGGCTTTGTCCCTCAACAGTCACCCACCTCGTTGCCCTTGATTCCCTGGCTTCCCGCCTCCTGCAGCGCTGTGCGAATGGCCGCCTCCACCTCCTCGCCCTCCGCCGCCTGCTCGCGTGGGATAGGCACTGCTACCAGTATGCCACTGCCAAGCCCCAATTGCTGAATCGACTTGAGCATGGCGGCGGCCCTGCGGTGCAGGTGTTTGGGGAAAGGGGGGAAGTTTGAAGGACGTATGTGTGTATACATGTGTCGTATACCTGTGTATACATGTCAACATAAACGTGCATCCTGCTCACGCACAGGAGGGGAAGGAATAACTTAGGGTTTGGGAAAGCCAAACACGCTGAGGAGAATGTCCCAGTCGAGACGTGTGTTGAGACGTCTGTTAACCTCGCAATCCAGTGCGTGGAAGCGGAAACGCGAAAAGGAAAGCCCTCTGTGCTTACACCTGCACCCCACCCTAAAAAGGTGGTCTTCTTTTGCTACCCGAAGGGGAAATCGTTTTACACCCCCAACACCAGAAGGACCAGATGAGTGGACGTCGGTGGCGAACCATAACCTTTTAGACTCACTCGGCCGGGGAATCCACTCGGGCCGGGGAACGGCAGCCGCTGTGCGGCGTGAAGAATGCAGGAAAGTCATCCGTACCGTACGATGCCACCGCGACGCCCTGCTCGCGGGGAGAGCAGGGGCTCGGGTCAACCGGCTGGCCGTTTGAGGTGATCGGTGTCCCCCTTACCCACCCCAAAAATGAACGCCAGGGACGTGCAGCAATATGGACAATAAAGATGAGAAGTTGACGCCCCGTCCCAATCGACCATAAGCCAATTTTACGCGCCAAGGATGGCCCGCGGCACATGCCCGTGGGCAACCCGTGGACGCTAGCCCTGGTAAAGAAGCGGCATCCTTGCAATTTGCTGGCGGAGTAACCTACTGCCGGAACTCACCCGCGTCTCCAATACTTCCAGAGTGCGTGGAATATCTAAAATGGACTTGGCTCCAGCACACACGACCGCTATAGGTGTGCGGCCCAGCTCTGTGAGGTCCGCGCTAACGTCCATCGTGACTTCTCCCCCCCGATGTACGCCCCCGATGCCGCCTGTAACGAAGACATGTATCCCGGCTAAGGCCGCTAGCGCAGCTGTGGCTGAAACTGTTGTAGCGCCGTCCAATTGTTTTGCCATGACGACCGGCAAGTCTCGCCGAGAGACTTTCTGTACGGCGGTCCCTTTTCGCGCAATATGCTCAAGCTCCTCGCGCTGCATGCCAATATGGGGGACGCCTTTGATGATTGCGATGGTCGCCGGTATAGCGCCTGATGCGCGGACAACGTTCTCAACCTCGAGCGCGGTTGATAGGTTGTCAGGCCACGGCATGCCGTGGGTAATAATTGTGCTCTCTAACGCAACCACGGGCAGTCCCTCGGTCAGAGCGGCTTGCACCTCTGGCGAGACTTGTAGCCGGGGTTCCACCATGAAGAACGAAAGCCTACGGACACCGCAGCTAAAATCCTCAGCGTCGAAAAAAATGAACTTTTGCCGGTATATGTAGCACGGAAATTGGTATGCTCCTTGACAAGCTTCGAACAAGGGTTTAAAGTGAAAGTTCGGAAAGTTCCGTAAGCAGTAAGGAATCGCGTCTGATATTACAACGCGGTGGTTATCAACGTTACTTGCGACAGGTATACTTGACAAGCATGTATGGAAGGACTTGTCGTAAGAGGTGTACGACTGCAAGCCAGCAAGGTATGCATATCATACAAGGGCCCTTTCCTGATATTGTCTGCATAACTTGTGTCATGAATCGGGCGAATTGTCATCTGGGTCTTTCAGGGACGCCGCATCCACAGCAGCAATGTCAACATGCCGGGACGTGCTGAAAACCCGAACCTCCCTCTCCACGAGACGTGCCCCCAGCGGCGCTTCACACTGGCAAAGCTGTTCTGGCCAATACAATCCGGTCAAACAAGTCGTTATGCTGTTGGTGCAGGCTCTGCTACAGCTTCCGAACTGGTGTTAAGTTGCCCGACGACAAGTGCGCGTAGCGCATTGTCATAACGTGCATGTCACACTCATAACAGGGGTTCTTAGCTTCCGGGATGCATAGCTCCCCCTTACAGGCGCCTTACAAGAAGCACCCGACGGTTGCGACGCACGGCGTCCCGAACGAATCGCAGCTCATGCTGACGCTTTGCAATCATCTTCTTCCACCGCTGAGACAGTATATTACTCAACTAAGCGTGTTCACTCGCCTCCAATCTTATGGGACTGGACGAATGGGGGAGTCTGATGGGAAGTTGGTTCAGTCCCGTAATCCACACCAGGAGCAAAATTCTTCGGGCGCCACATGACAAGCTGCCCCTTTCTCTGCCCCGTCCCGTGGTCACTACACAACTTAGATTTTAAAAGTACGTGTTATGACCAAATCAAATGCAGCATTATCCATTAAAAGGCAGCTATCGGCGACCTCACCTTAAACTAGCTGCTTTATGTATGCTATACTCGTCGAGGAGTGTAAGAACTAGGCTCAGGACGATCAGGCCTACACAACGCCGATACATCAGTCCGCGTACAAGTGACATCAGCGGTATCGGTAACCCTGCGAGGCCTCGCAACCCTGTGAGGTGTACTTGATTACAAATCGTTTTGTTTTCAGGACATACAGCGACAGCCTCCTTGCTGTCTTGCCAATGAGAGCTCTGGGCTCCAACAAAACATACACTCCATACAAAACCCAGGTCCCGAACGAAGCGCATCATAATCCTGACGGTCGTGTTGGCCCATCACGGTACGCACAGCCTGAGCATCGTGGCCCCCAGCTTTTCCCACCCACCCACCCAACTCCCCATCATTCCTTCCCCCCTTTTGACTTGGCCTACCAATGCAGGAGCCTCTGCCATGGGTGCATAGCGCTGCATAAAATGAGCCCTACCTACCACTACCCCTCTGCCACTACGTATCTATTACCCTCATCGCTAATGGGAAGAACTTGGAATGATTTAGTACTTGAGTTGCCCCTGGCACCGTAAGCCAGCTGCGGAAAGCAAGGGAAACCACAAATGCAAAAGCACGGCAAACAAGCAATGTGGTCCAGCACGCTTTCCGCAATTGGGTAATGTATAAATATGTGTGCAGATCTACGCTCCGTTTCCTTTTCCCAAAGCACAATGGTCACAAGAGACATTATTGAGCAACATGTGTGTCGCACAGATCTACGGATGTCGTACATGCGCTCAAGTTGCGACAGAAATTTCGATATACACGTCGTGTAAGCCTAGAATAGTTAATGTGAAAATGATAACAATACTCGATAACTGGAGGTCCACTTCGAAGTAGATGAAGACAGACGGACAGACAGACAGACAGACAGACAGACATTCGATAGACAAGACAGGTTCAGAGCTGTCGTCTAAATCTCTCGTGAACCGCCACAATTAGCCGTGCTTGTAGCAGTTAACCATTACTTTCCTAGCGATGAATGCGTGCCAAAATCCAGACAGCAAGGGAAGCACCGGCCTGGTCAATTCCATCACCATCACCATCGGCGCCTCCTCCGCTTCTCCTCCTCCTCCTCGCCCTCCTCCTCCCCCACGTCGTCCCCTCAAGAGCCTAGAGCTCCCCCAATACCACGGCCCCCAGACAGCAGCTCAAAACCTCAAGTGACGGGCCCCCCCACTCCACTCCCACTCTCACGCCCATCCATCACCTACACTCCCCTAAGGTTCTAAGGATCTATTCCATGCCCCAGCTACTGCACCGCTGCGTCTCTCCCCCCTTCGTCTCCTCCCTTCCGGCCAACAAATGTGCCCCACTTCGCATCTGTCCCTTCATCCTTTCCATCACATCACATCACATCACATCACATCACATCACATCACATCTCTTTACCCTACTTGCATCCTTCAGACCTAACAGAACCTCACCCCCACCACCTCCACCCCTCACCCACACGACCCCTACCCCCATCATCACAGCCACCCGGGCCGGTTCTCAGAGGGTATTGCGAAGGCGGTGTCGCCGTTGGCTGCTCCGGTGACGGAAGTGGACACTCCAAAAATTGTGTGCCCGCCGTTTGAGCGCAGTGACGGTGTAGTTGTAGGCCAGACCACCGTAGTCGTTGTCCCACATAAAGGCCCTGTACATGTACGAACAACGGTCAGGTCGTTAGCTTCTTCTTATCTTCAATGGCCACCATTTAGAAAAATAGATAGTATGGGGCAATTTAGCGGTAGGAATGGTAAGGTAAGAATGACGATTTCCATGCGCGTTTCGGAAGGGGCGAATCCAGCGAAAGCGGTGTGTGCCGACTTTGGACACTGGCAGAATCGATCCGTGTTACACACACACACACACACACACACACACACACACAAAGTCCAAGAGATGTGACAAAGCGCGATAATAAAAGACCCCGGGGCGGCAGCAAGCAAGAGCCAAACCCAAGCACCCATATCAAAGTCCACGTCCACTACACATGCCCCCACGACATGCCCGCCCCGCCTGAAGGTGGCCCCCATCATAACCCCCCACCTCACCCATACCCCATTCCTCCCACCTGTGGTACCTCTCCACACCCCCCTGGAGACGACAGCAGCCGCCGCCACCACAAAGCAACCAAGTAGTAGTGGGGGCCAGGGGTAGGGGTAGGGGTAGGGGTAGGGGTAGGGGTAGACGTAGGGGTGCGTGTGGGCGTGTATGGGGGTGTGGGTTTGAGGGTCCAATGTAGAACATTTGGACGGGAGGAAATTGGGAGTGGGCGCTGGTGAAGTCCAAAGGGAGAGGGAGGGGTGTGCTTTGCAAGCTGCGTGCGTGTGCGTGTGTGCGTGTGCGTGTGTTATGCACAAGGGGCGGTAGGGCATCGAGGCGATATCAAGTACCTGGCGGCAGACGGAGGCTGCGCTCCGAAGTCACAAAACCATATACCTTCACCCCCACCCCCACCTGCAACCGGGCCAGTTGCTCCGAGGTGACGTCGTCCAGGTGGTCAACCAGGTCGGCCACGTCGCGGCGGGAGAAGCGGAGGGAGAACTCCTCAAAGGGGACCACATCCCACAGGGGCTGGAGGGGAGAGGTAGGGGGAAAGACGAACCACGAGCGAGGGCGAGGGAGGGGATGAAGGGGAGGGGGGGGAAGCCATAACTACAAATCGCATTCCAAAACTCCGACTACAGAACGGCAAGGACGAGTAAAAGTAAAAGCTGCACTATAGGTTGTCTTTCCCCCCTTTTTTGAAGTCATTTCCGGACGAAGGGGCAAAGGAGAGGAGCAAGCAGAAGTACGGAATCCCGAGAACTAGGGTACGGGGTAGCGGGTAGGCCACGTAGGGGAGTGGGAGGAGCGGGAGGGGGAGGAGAGTCCCCTCTTACCAGCCCCCGCACCCCGCATCCCGACCCACCTGATACACGTGGTCTTGGATAACAACGGGCACGCAGCCCCGCACCATGGCCTCAGCTAGCCGGATACCCCAGCCCGCCCCCATGGGCGCCAAACAGAACTTAGAACGGGCCATGAGGTCGATGGCATCGTCTGGGAGAGGAGGGGGAGGAAGGGGAGAAAGAGGGCCGGATGGGGGAAAGACGAACCACGAACGAGTGAAGGTGCTGCCAGGGCAAGAGTGTAGGGCAGGATGGGGGAGGGGAAAGGGGATGATATGAAAATGATGGACAAGTCCAAAGAGATGAAAGAGATGGGAGGAGGGTACGGAAAGCATGTCGAGACGAAATACCCCCCCCACACACACATAAACGACAGACACGGGGACATGCCGCCACGGAGTAGAGTTAATCGCCGACCAAAGCCGCGGGGTCTTTCTCGTGCGAGTCCATGTGCCTTCCCCCTTCCCCCCCTCATCCTTGCTATCCCTCAACCCCATCCCCAACCCCAACCCATCCCGCGAATTCTTCTAAATCCTTATACGATGAAATAAATCTTTTTACAGAACTTCTTACCATATGGCACAAGCCCCTCCCCTCCCGGGTGGCCCTCCTCTCCTCTCCCCCTCACCTCCCCAAAGCACTCACGTCTAGGATCGGTCACTAAGAAGTCGCTTCTGGCGTTAGGACCCTGAAGGGGAGTTGGTTGTTGAGTTAGTTGGCAGTTGGGTATGTAGGTGGTTAGTAGGTAGGTAAGTGGTTAGTTAGGTGGATGTAACAGAGGTCGGCAAATCGATTTTTTCGGCTGCGGGTCAGTCCGTCATCTCTCATGCCAATATTTTATGGGCGCCCATTGGGATATATATATAGACTCTTTTCGGACGAGATTTCTTCCGTCATCTCTGGACCGCACGCAGCCGTAGGAGCCTAAAGAGGCTATAGGTTACGTAGCCTTATAGGCTATATGCTATCAAGCACTGCTATCAACCAAGATCAAGATCCTGGGTTCGATTCCTGGGCAGAACCCCGACATTAATTGGGAGAATGAGGTTATGACCAAGTAGCTAGTCAGGTGTGGAGATGAGGTCTAGTTGGTGGACTGAGTGTTTCGCATGCTGAGATGGTGGTGGTGGCTGATCTGTCTCTACAGATGTTGGGTGACTGGATGAGGAGGGGTCTAGATGGCAGGACCCAAAACCGCCCGTCAACTTTCAGTTCGTACGGCGTGATTACCTTTCACTATGTAACAAAGCAACAACAATATAAATTGTCCATACATATGTGCCCCCCGGGCTTTGACAGATATCCCCGCATTCGTGCGGAGCATTTAAAACTTGTATTGCCTATATTGGCGTTTTTAGGCTGCTCGTACTGGGGTGCTCCTGTTCCTGGCTGCTCATGGCTGGGGAGTGAGTGAGCGAGTGTACGAGAGTGTGTACGTGTATGTGTAGGATAGTTGGGGTTTGGGGGAGGGGGGAAAGAAGAGAGGGGTAGGCCGGGTGCACGTGACAACGTGAATGCGGGGAGGGTACACATGCATACATACATACACACACATACGCACGTACACACATACATACAGACCACCTGTGCACACGTACATTGGGGTCGTACTTGCCACCCGGCCCAAACATACTGCGTAAGGCTTGTCGTACACCCTGGCTGTACGCCATGATGGACCTGCGGTACGGCACGAAAGGAATGAAATGGGCAGTGGGGGGGTTGTACGGTCACAGTGGCAGACAGATAGACTTCCAGAAATATATACAAAAATGGCCAGGTGGTGCGGGTACGATGGCAACGAGGGGGAAGCGGGGGGAAGCGGGGGGAAGCCGGGGGGAAGCGGGGGGAAGCCGGGGAAAGCATGCTACACGCCGGAACTCGCCGACGGGGGAGGTCTGTGGGGTAATGCGTGTATGTATGTACGTATGTACGCATGTATGTATGTACGTGTGTATGCATGTACGTATGTACGTACGTATGTATCAGATCAAAGGCTATTTATTGGTTCGGATTCATTTGCAGCTGCAAACCCCTGTGGCCCCCCGGTTGGATAGCCCTCTGAAAGGCCAAAACACATACACACATACACACATACACGTGGCAGGCGGCTGGCAGAGGTTAAGGCCTGACTTCTGCTCCCGGCCGACCCGGGTTCAAATCCGCCTGTCGGCTCCTCGGGTGTTTGAGGAGTGATGAAATGGGAGGTGGCCCCCCATCATATGGACGATGTAGGACGTGATAATATCAACTTGCGAGCTAACCAGGAACTAGTTTGACGCACCGTTAATCCGCTAGATTTGGTTGGATGCTGGTGGTGAGTTGCTGAACCCAACGAATACATTCTGAAGTTGGATGGGGTGAATGGATTAGGGTGCCCCTCTAGCAGGGGAGAGCAGGGACTGCCCCGGGAAAGGGGGCCGCTGGCGAAGTTAACCACCCTGTAACAACATACAAACACGTCGCTGGGCTACGGTTAGTTATACATGGTACCATCCCTCGCCACTTCCCTGCCCCCGGCTCAGCTTAGTCAAACACATACCTACATACAGACATACCTAAATACAGACATACATTTATGTGTGTGTTACATGGTGTTACAAGGTATGTGTTTCTCCACTACTTTTTAATACCTCCCCTACCCCCGTCACTCGCTCGTGGTTCGTCTTTCCCCCCTTTCCCCCAATAGCTGCTGTCCGCAAACCCGCAAACCAACTCCCTAAGTTCCAATCCCAACCCTTCACGAACCATAAATTTATTGATTGTTAGGTAGGGTGGGGTGGGGGGTAAGAGGAGAAGGTAGTAGCGGTGGTCATCAGACCCTAGGGTTTTGTCCCCCAATGGAGGATGTACGACATAGCTGTGTGACCTACTTTGTGTATCCGCCGAAAAAGAGTGTGTAGGTGCGCTTCTCGAGATCGTCCTGTTGCCGAGTGACCACCCGCTCGCCGTCCACAAACTTGACGTCCCACACCTGTGGGTGTGTGTGTGTGGGTGTGTGTCTGGGTGTGTGGATTTGTATTTGAATTTGTATTTATATATTTACTTATATATTGTGTGTGTGTGTTACATGGTTGGGGGTGCGTGACCCCATACCTGTAAGACTACCCATACGAGCCGAAGGCCCAAGGGCAATACTACAACGCCTAAAAGCCACGGAGGAAAAGGAAAAACACCGCACATCAGCCCAGACTAGCGTCCAAAGGGGGTAATTGAGTTTCGGTGACCCCACATACGTTCCAACATCCTCGCCAGACGTGCGGGTTCCCATTTCATGGCCTCCAACATGCTCTGTTGATGATCGAATCCCTCTTCAGCACGAATATCATTATAGGCTGGGCATTCCAATAACACGTGTTTTTCATCCTCGATTCGGCTATTAGTACCACAACAGCGGCAATGGTGGGGGATGGTACGCGCGCGTGTGTATGCCTGTGTGTGTATGTGTGTGTGCTTGGACGGTGTGCGTGGTGAAGGTGCTGGTGGTTGTGTGTGCCTGTGTGTGTATGTGTGTATGAGATAGAGATAGAGAGCATTTCCATGTGCGATATTGTAGAGTTTAATATTGCATAATAGAAGCCGAATAGCATACACATACACACACACATGCGTGTGAAAGTGTCACGACACAACTGCCAACCTCCCACCGCACCAATTCGTAAGTGGGGCGGGGGAAAGGAGATTATATTTGAAAGGGTTCTCCCCTGTTTCCCCCTTTCCTCTCCCCCCCCACATACACACACGCCACACCTGTCTGTAAGCCCCAGGCTCAACCCAGCCCTGGTGAAGCACATTGGGGGTTACGACGTCCTTCTCTGGCCTGCAGTACAATAGTACGGCAGTAGAGATCTCGGGCAACATGTACGGATCAGCAAATTCGCGGCAAAAGATACGTGGGGCCGCCGCCGCCGCTGCACCAAGCCAACATTTGTTCCCGGATCGCACACCGCATTAACGGTACGACGTGCAACAAAAAACACACACGCCTTCCCCTCTCCTTCCCTCCTCCCCCTTTCCCCTTTCTGATTCTCCTTTCCCCCCCCCCCAACCCATGCTTGCACCCAACTCTGTCCCACCCATTCGCAACCCCACTCACACCTCTCCCCCTTGCCTCACCCCCAGCCTCCCGCACCCTGACCACATCTTCCCTCCTTTCTTCCCCCCCCCCAACACCCCAACACATAAACCATACCCCCCAACCTCCTCCCCCTCCCCCAAAACACACACGACATAACCCCCCTGCCCCACCGAAGACAAATCTCGTGCTCCTCCAAAATATCGGCCGCGGTGAACTCCGGGAACTCCTCAAACCGGTGCCCCGGGTGTGGAAGCGCCCCCAGCAGCGAGGCCACACCCCCCAGCGTGTCGATCCCGTGACCAGACCCCATCATATGGGCCTTCTGGAGGTAGGCGTGACGGGGGGCTTGACCGAAATGGACCATCTGTCCAGGGAGGACGGGGAACGTGGGAGTGGGAGCAGGAGGAGTGGCGCTTGGGGCGGAGGTGTGGAAAAGGGGAAATCATATGTCAGCCGCAACGGACCAGCTGCCGACACTCTCAAAGAGGTCGAACCCAAAGTGCGGAAAGGGAAAGCTGGCGGGCAGGCAGGCGGGGGGGGGGGGGGGGAGACGAACCATGAGGCGTGAAGCTGCTGGGGAGGGGGTAGAAAGAGAGGATTACGGGGAGGGGGAAACAGGGGGCCCCACAAAACCCGCAGGGAAAGACGTGTACGACCTCAGACGTGTACGACCTCAAAAGTGAATCCCAAACCGTGGTCAGAAAAGAGTGGGCCTCCTCCCTCCCGGTGTCATTGTTGCGAATGTAAATCTATGCAACAAAAGTTTTTTATAAAGGGATCACGAGTTTTGTTGTTTTGACTTCCAAGACAAAGCACCCATGGGAAGCGGTAGAGGCGGGTTAGGGGTAACAAGGGGGGTCAGGAGCTGGAGCAGCCAATCGGCCGAGAAACACAGCAGCAGCAGCAGCACCGGCACACGACAGACACGCCCTCAAACCTTAATGGGGTGTTGCAGCTCCAATTGCGACATTTGAAGTTTACACGCTCCTCGGTCGTTGGTGGCCCACATGACGTGGTTGCGGCCCCCCGTCAGGTTGAAGAAGGGCGCCAGGTGCTGGAGGTGGTGCACGACGTGTTGGAAGATGAAGGTGGGGTGGCCGACATTGCCTGGAATAACATGGGACGGGGCCCCGGGGGAAGGCGGGAAACCGCGACCGCCAGGTCAAGGGGTCCAGGGGACACCGAGGGTGAGGCAGGGCACGTGGAACAGGGGAAAGCAGGGGAATGCAGGCATACAGACGAAATGGGGAATGCAGACATACAGACGAAACCACAGTTCTTGTTTGTGTTTATTACATCATGAAGCCTGGATTGCAACTCAACTGGCGCGTGGATTTACCTGTAAACCAGTACGTGAAGGTGGGCACGTAGAATAGTGCGGCTGCAGGGGGAGGGGAGCATGAGAGGGCAAAGGTATGGTAAACCTGATGATGATGATGATGATGATGATGATGATGATGATGATGATGATGATGCAAGAAACACAAACCAAAAGAGGCCAACCGCCAACGCCCCAAGGGGGGCCAGAAGGGGAAGGAAAACACGCATCGTCTAAACTAGCCATAAAATACAACGCAGTCATATGCACAGGTGCCAGGGGAAGAGGAAGAGGAAGAGATAAGAGGGGAAGAGGAAGAGAGGGAGAGAGACGCACGCAACCCATTTTCGACCGACTAGGTGTAATCTGATTTAGCAGCGCCAGCAATGTGAAGAGGGTCGCGGTAGGTGGGGGAAGTGATGATGAGAGGCAGGGAGCTCGTACTGTCGCCCTCCTTCCTTCAACACCAACTGACAAGTCAGCACATGTCCCCCCCCCAACCGACACCGTCCAACCACCCAACCAACTCCCAACCACCTTTCAGGTACTTACAACCACCTACCTTCCCAGGGGTTTTCCGTCCTTACGGACCAGTCGCCCAACAATCGCTCAGTGAACTCCAGTTCCGCGTTGTACATCAGATCAATGTACGACCTGGGTACCAGTACAACGTACGACATTACAAACAATACGACGGATGTTGCATTTCAGACAACTAAACTAAACACAACTAACACAAACTAGATAAAAAAAGCCTCCACTACAGATATGCCTGTGTCCTGCAGTATTGGAGAATGAATGATCGAGAACATTTACAAAAGACGATACGCGCAAACCCCCCTTCCCCTCCCAAAACACCTACCATTGGTCTTGAAACTCTCGTCGGTGCAAGACAATACTGGGTAGGTCGTACACATAAATCTTGATAGCCGCATGGTTGGGCCGCCAGCCTGCGGACAGACAAGCATACGTGCATACACGCACACAGGCACGCCAGGTGGATGAAATGCGAGTGTCATCCCGTGTCCTGTCTTCTCCGTCCCTTCCTGGCCCCCGCCCTTTCCTTTACTTCCGGAACCATGGGTCAGTGACTTCAACGCTTTGGACTTCCTTCAGCGGTTTCAAACTTTGAATGGCGGGAGTTCATTTCTTGTTTCTTTGCATATGATTTTCCCCCTTCCTTCGTCCCCTAAACAACTTTTCATCACAACTGCGCCCGGGACGGGTAGAGTGTTCCAGTCCTCCAAAGCCCTTCGCGCCACAAGTCCCCGGCGCCGTTTTCCCATCCTTCCCCCCGGCTCAACCCTACATGCACATGCACATCCACGTTGCCGCGGTCATGCACGCACCCCTCCCTTTCTTCTCCCCTCCCCTTCTCCCCATCCCCTTTTCAGCCCCTTTCCCCTTTCCCTCCACCGCACACACCTTCCCCCTTTTCCCCCTTCCTTTCCACGCAACTCCCCCACCCCGGGTCGATGATTTCATCGCCAAGGACTTGAGCAGTTTAGGACTTTGGCTTTCGAGGACGCCCCGCCACTTTATCGGGAACATTTACAAAAGACGGCAGTTTACTTCCGAGTTTCCCGCACACGAGTTTCTCTTCCCCCACCCCCACCCTCACCCACCAACCCGCACGTACCCACTTTACTGCCGTACGCCTTCGTCCTCGTACACCCATGTCCCCAGTATCCCGGCTCGCAATGGCACCAGCCATTCAGGCAGGTGCCCACTCCGCTACAGTTGCGGTAGCAGTGGAGGGGGTCGGCAATCTCGCAGGTCTTGCCCCGGAAGAAAGAGTGGCAGTGGCACCAGCGCTCCTCCGGGTCCTCGTGGCGCTCCATCAGCACGTTGCCGCCCAGGCTCTGACACCAGCCGCGGTCGCTACAACGGCCTGGACACTCTTTCAGCGGTCGGTAGATTCCATCCGGCATCTTGACCTCCTGCAAGGTTAGGCGGAGGATAGGAGTGCGGCGGATTCATATAAATACCTATAAATACATACATTATATATAAATACCTAGAAATATATACATATATATATACATTTATATAGAAATACCTACAAAAATATACATTTATATAGAAATACCTAGAAATACATACATTATATATAAATACCTAGAAATATATATATATACATTTATATAGAAATACCTACAAAAAATATACATTTATATAGAAATACCTAGAAATACATACATTTATATAGAAATACCTAGAAATATATACATGCAAAAAGGAAACTATCAACTGCTCGATACGTGGGAAGGAAAGGTAGTCGACCTAGAGGGTAAAGCTTTTGCCGTGATAGATACACAAAGACCAACAACATTGCGTCCCATGATCCAGGTGCTTCGACTGCCTGCGCAGTCCTACTTATCCCTGCCCCTCAACCCCTCTTAGTTCGGTCGGGCCAGGAGTGTGTTAGCTGAGGGGGGGTGGCTGGGAGGAACGCATGCATGCCAGCTAGCAAGCAAGCAGTGCAGCAGCAAAAAATATCGGCAAAAATGTACTTTACTACTCTCGCCGCCACGTCGGCGTAGACTTCCTCATCACATCACATCACATCACGCTTTCCGATACCCCTCCTTTTTTGCCGCCTTTAGTTCTACACGTCATCACCACCACTGCGGTTTCCGTCCTTTTACTGCTATTTTATAAGAGGCTTTCCTTTGACTTCGGCAGCTAGATAGTTTTCTGCGTTTTTCGCCTTCTGTTCGTAATTCGTCTCGCAACCCAGCTATGGCCACGTCGCCGCGAGGACTACTCCGGCCATCGCAGGTCAGTTAAATATCCTTGCAGCCCGCAAACTCCTCACCCCTCTCTTTCCCGTCCTGCCCTGCCCTCCCCCACCACCCTACCATGGTCCGTTGACTTCATTTCGCTTAGGACTACAACAACTTTGAACAGTTTTGAACGCCGGCACTTCATTTCTGATTCCCTTGCATCATATGATTCGGCCCTCACCTCCCCCCCCCCCGCCTTTAGCCTCACCCAACCACCCACCATCCCCGCACACCGCACCCATCCGGTGCGGGGTTTAACCGTTCTGCAACACTCCTCCCCCTTTCATGCATGTGATACTTACTCCTTACCTTGGGACTCGGCATCGCTTGGAGCTCCTGAAAGGTGGGGTAGCCCCTCACATGCAGCCACTCCACATCCGGGTCGTCCAGGGAGGGAGAGTCCGACAGCTGCTGGCTCTCAGGAACGCCCTTGTAGCGGTAACACAACAGCTGCGGTAACACAACAAAGCACACGTATCCCCACAGATTTACATACATACATACATACACACACGCCGCCAACACCCCGGCCCCCCGTGTCCAATACAAAATCTAGCATAGGCTTAGGTCAGGTTACTCAAGGGAACAACGGAAGGTTCCGAAGATTCATTGGTGAAGTGTAAGTCTACAAAACGGGGCGGCATTGGGTTGGAGTCACGGGGAAGTCGCACATCGAATCAACTGCTGACTTCCAAGATGGGTTGAGGGGGTAAGACAAACCACAGGCGAGTGAAGCAGACATACGAAGAGTAGACGGATAGGGGTCAGGAGAAGACACATAGGAGATGGGGGAGGAGGAAACTTTCATGGCGATGATATAAGTTGTACCTTACGACGCTTCCTAGCCACCTATAAATGCATATTTAGCCAACCACAAATGCATATTATTACATCAATAACGGTAAAAACGATAATGATGTTTGGTTCTTAGGTTTTTTAATGACAGCGCAGCCCTCCCTTTCCCCTCTCGGCACAAGCAGGCAAACCCCGCAACCCGCCGTCCTTTCCCCTCACGTACGGTCGGCCTCACGTTGTTGTTAAGAAGTATGTCGTAAAAGCACGGCGGCTGGGGGACATGTCCGCTGCCCTCGTACTTGAGATAAGAGGGACACGAGTAGGGATGCTCGGAGAGCTGCCTGAGAAGGCCGCGTGTTGGCAAGGCAATCAAGGCGATCTAGCTAGGCAATCTAGCTAGGCAATCAAGGCAATCAAGTCATGGCGGGGGGCGTTCTTTCACGCAAACTTGCAGCGGGAGGGCGAAGGGGTGAGGGGAGTGGGAAGTGCATGTGTTTTATGCATATCTGCCCGGAGGGGAGGTTGGGAAAGCGAGGAAAAAAGCGCAACAAGATACTTGGGGAGAAGAGCAGGAGGAAATACAACATGTGCCAACATCAGCAAGATATAAAGCATGTACTGGGGGCCGACGGACGTCCGTAGTAGTACCGTAGTGTCGTGCGGGTCCGCGGCAACCGAGCCCTGGTGCAACGCATGCAGGCCCTGGTCATCCCACCTGCCGGAAAGCACCTTCACGCGCTCCATGGCCTTTTCGCCCCCCTGCGCCTCCCCAACTGTCTCCCCAACTGCCTCCCCAACTGTCTCCCCAACTGTCTCCCCAGCTGTCTCAGTTCCCATGGAATGCAGTGGTCGTCCGCCCACGACCCTTCCTGTTCCCTCCTTTGCGCAGGGCGTAATTACACTACTGCCTCATAAGTCCTGCGCTTCATGACTACGACACCCAGCTCCCTCTACAGGTTCTTCCACGTACTTTACACAATAGCAGTTCTTCGGGTACCAGTCTCCGTAGTGGGGCAAAGTGCCGTCTTCATGGCTCGAGTGACATGCGGGAAACAGCTTTTGTGTGCAGGTGGGGCCTGAGGCGGGGGAGGAGGGGGTTGTGCGCAAGAGTTCAAAAAGGGGGAGGCAAGTAGTGTAACGGTCAAAGCGAAATGGAAGTGATGGTCAAGGCAAGGTAAGGGAGCTAGGGCCACTTTATGTAAGCAGTAATGTTAACCCGCTCGCTGAGTGCTGCCATTTCATGCAGCATCGCACCTGCCAACCCGAACGGGCAGTCGCATTGTCCAGTTTCACCGTTGCAGTTGCCATATCTGCCAGTCCGAAAAGCACAAGCTTGGCGGAGAGAAAGAAGCAGCAATACATGGCCCTCATGGCCAGGAACGTTTTTCAAACCAGGACACTAGAAGAATGATGTGGCGATGCTAACCTGTTGCAACCTGGGTCACATGTTTTTGTATCCTCATAGAAAACACCTGGAGCTTGCGCTAGGGCAACGACTGACCAGGTGATCAGCAACACAGCTGGGTTTAGTATCATCGCAGATTCAAATAAAGGTTGATAAAATGATAAATCACATATAAGTTTTGAAAGTCAGATCACCAGGCGCAACCCTTTAGAAACTGCTAATACTCGATGCTGAGTAGCGTGGACTAGCCCATAATTCAAGACTTCCGCCAGCTGTGTAGAGAGCCAATAGATACACCATTGCTAGGCTGCATGAGACGATGAGGCAAAGAATGGATGTTGTTGCCAGTTGCCATCGTACAAGCAGTTGCGCGTTGCTCTTGCTTACAAAAGGTGCGCAAGCCGCAGCAAGAAGATCGTTTGTGGGCTTATACCCTGGTCAATTATCTAATTCATCTCAGGTTGCTCAAGATTTTAGCTGGAATGACGACAAGCCATCGTGTGGCAGCGGAAGGAGTTTTAGCTGCGGCCGTCCTCGGCAGGGAAGTACCCGCGTCAAACGGCTAGGCCCCATAACGGCCTATGTCATTTGGCTCCGAAGAGCACGCCTGAGGCGGCTTGGTATGACGTGCATGCCTTGAAATGGGCAGGAGGTTTTGGCTTTGTCACAAAGGTCAGTTCCGCAGGGTTCCGCAACTCATTTTGCCGTTCCCTCGTCCGTTCCGTGGAGAAGAACCACGACCAGTTCATATGCAAGGGATTTCATGTATATTTTGCCTTCAGTATACAACCTAAATCGTGACTTTCCGCTTCTGACCGTTTCGTAACCAATACTCCTGTTGACACATGAGCGATCATCTCCCACGTGCAAATGCCTATTATAGCATCGGTTTGAGGGCTCATAATACATGCATGGATTTGCAAAGCCGATTATGAGATATTCAATGTCAGACCATCGTCGCAAGAGATTGAGGTAATACCAATCTACGAGCATGCACGTGACGGGTGGCTTCCTGTTAGTTTAGTGTTCGCAAATGTTCGCAATAGAAAGGACATCTAATGTTTAAAACTCATTTAGTTTCATATAAGTACCACGCCTCTGAAGCCTTTGGACATTGCCAAAGCGAGCACACGGCAATCTCAGAGCAAGCGGCATTCCTTTTTATGGTGACCTGTAATTGTTTAGATTAACCTGCAAGATGCAAGGTATCCTCTCCTGCTTAAACACATTTGGCATACTGCAGAAGTCCTGGCGACGACTAGTGTTCCTGGCCAACGTGCTGCTTAGCCAAGCTTTCTAGAGCATCCAATGTTCGCACGGTTGCAGTTGCGAATTAAGCTCCACACAAGCCTGAACACCTGACGGCCCGACCATGACAGCCGTATTTGTGAGCTGGGATTGTTATCAACCGTCGAAGTCTACAGTGTCTTCAGAGCTTTCTACACAGAAGGTCGCCTCGCGTCGGTCACGTGGGGCCGGCCCATAATTGCAACTCGCAGGAGCCATCGTGCCTTTCACGCCCAACCAAATGCGTCTGACGGACGCAATGACCGTCACGGGCACTCAGCTATCGGACGCCGTTCCAGACGTTCCAGCTCCGGATTTCCATGGCGATAGCGCCTCCTATGACACCGACATGGACATTCAAACCACCTTTGCCAATTTTTCCAAGCCTTGGAAACCCATTACTTTGGTCCAACCCTGCGTCACTACAACCGGGAGGCTCTTTTCCTCGTGCAAGCCGCTGCGCGACGGCTTCACAGCCGAAGGCGAATTTGGACCGCGCAATCCCCGTGGTCTTTTTGCCTGCTGCGGCAGCATCCGGTCTTTTTGCCTGCGGCGGCATCATTTGGACCTCCAGGCGTGTTTGGCTGTATGTCAGTTGCGCAAAATACCGGGCGCGCTGCGGCGACTGGGCCAAGTCACGCTACGCCAATTGTACGACGCGGCGTTCGAGCCTCCACAAGGCTATGAGGGCGGAGAGAGCGTAGGTGCGCGTTTGATGGGAGGCCGTCATCGGAATAGAGCGTGATACCCCTTCTAGGCCTGTATAGGTGTTTGTTGGCTGTCGTGCTAATTAACGACATTTTGATGCGGGATGGTAAGGCGACCGAACCCTGCGCTGTAGCTTGGGGTATGTTGAGGAAGGGGAGGAGGGGGAGGACTACTACAGGGAGGGGTTACAGCGGCCCCTACAATCCCCTCGCCCTGCCGCATTCCCTGGCTGCGTACGAGCTTGACCCGCGCCTCCCTTTGAACAAAGCCTCCAGGGTGTGCGCATGGGGCATGTCAATGTTGCTTTTTAGAGGAGTACGGCAGCAAAGCAAGCCTTGCCCAGGGTTCGAACTGCAGACCGCAGCTATATATTTGTGCTGCTGCCGTATGATGCAGGTGCGCTGTGGAACCTGGTGACCCGGCAGGTCGATGTACGGCTTCACTCATGGGAATCGTACTCGCACGAGCTGGATGACCGGGAACGGCTTGGCCAGGGAAATCCCAGGCAGGTGTCGTACAGGTGTCTTGGTCGGGGGGTGGGGGAAGGAGAGCTGCTGCTAGGCCTGGGTGATTGGGCTCCAGGGATGGCCTTACATCTTTTGGAATCTGATTTGGGTCGGTTAGATACTGGGGATTGGGGACTGGATTAGTATGTGGAGGGCGGTTGGATTAGTATGTCGTAGGGGGGTTTTGCGGCTTGGGTGGTCAGGGTTGGGGGGGTTTGCGGCTTTGGCTTCGTGGCTTTGGTTTCGTGGCTTCGGTACGTGTTGTGGGCATGTGTTTTTCCCGCTTCCCAACTTTCCCTCCCATGCGATGGCAGTTAGACACGCATACGCCAACTACCAACTGCCAACACTCGCGAAAGGCCTACTTCTCCAGGATTCCTTGTTTCTTATAATTCTCTTTTTTTCCTGACACGACTCCCACACACATGCGGTAGTCGCATTTTCATCTTCGTTTTTGTGCAGCCTGTTTTGCAGCATATACTTTTCAGCATGTTTTCTATGCCGCCTGTGACGCCCGATGATATTTATTGCTTTTAATGCTACCCGCTTTCCCCCCCGCTCCCACACTGGTACACTCTTGCCCTGGCAGCAGCTTCACTCGTGTGTGGTTTGTCTTTCCCCCCCGCTCCCACACTCCCCCAGGCGGTCGCCGTTTGGTCTTCCTGTCGTACACCCTTTGTGTAGAGCAGCTTTGACCTGGTCAACGTCCATGTTGCTATTCGACCTGGTCTTTACGGCGTTTTGGGTGCCGGTCAATGTTGCGTTTTGCCTGGACCAGTACGGCAGGCTGGACGCCGTGTGCACTCGTACGGATCTGGCGGGTGGTGAGTGAGGGGCGCGGGGCGGACGGGGGAGGGAGGGGGAATCATACCCAAGAAACTCAAAAAAAAGGGGGGGGCTGAGGGGATGAGGTTTACGGGTTAGCCGCTTTCCCTGGGATTTGGCTGGGTTTGGGTTTGGGGGTGGAGATACCCAACAAGGGACTTTCGTGTGTGTTTGTAACCCCTTTTCCTCGCCGCTACCCCCCCATCACCCCATCAGTCTATCCTTGGCTTCAGCTTCTTTCGTTCGCGGTTCGTCTTCCCCCCATCACCCCTCCCCTACCTCCCTCATCTGCAGGCATTGTCTACCTGGTAAATCTACTTTTGGGTTTCCAGGTACGACCGTACGATAATCTGAATCTGTTACGTACTGCCCCGTACTGTTACCACACCGCATGGATGTCAAGTACGGTGTCGTACAGGCCGTCAGGGGTTGGAGCAGAGGAGTAATACTATCAGCAACCACATATAGAGTGCGTGTATATGATTTCATCAGCTTCCCCTTTTCGATGATCTTTGTATATGACTTCCTTCCCTACACAAAACAAAATATTCATACATATGTATTATATACATACACATAGGCCAGGCACTACTGGTAAAGCACACACCGATGCCCCCGGAGGTTCCGGGATCGAGACCTGTTAGGGTCAAAAATCCTTCCGATGGTGGATCGATGTACGGTGTTGACCTAGGATAAAGTTAACCTTCGAGCCGACCAGGAATGGAGTTGGGCCGGTGTCGACCCGGCAGATTTCGCTGGATGCCGGTGGTGGGTGCGGAACCTGAGCAATCCACTTTGTGAAATAGGCTAGGGTGACTGGATGAGGGTGCCCCGAAATACCCGTGGGGAAGGCATGGTCTGCCGGGTAGCGGCCGCAGGGTGAAGATATGAACCCCCTGTCCCACACATCATACGTACATACATGCGTACATTTATATACACAGTTTTTACATATATATACACATCTTACACATCGCTTCAGAGTTTGATTACCATATCTTTTAACCATCACTGCCACCGTTCACCTGCACCGGCCCAGATTGGAGTAACGCTCACATGCGGGTATCGCTCCAGGGTGGTGATGGATGGAGTAGATGCTGTACGACTGTACGGCTCTACTTTGTCGTTCTGGTTGGACATACTGGCAGTGGCGCCCTTTGTCTACTTGGTGGGTGTCAGGGGGGGGGTAGTGGGGGTTTGAAGGGAGAAGGGGACGCGTCGGGGTTTTAGGATTACGGCACCGGGGGGGGGGGGGTAGGAGGAAACCATATGCAAAATTGTGGATCCAGATTTTGCAAACGTTTAACTGCAAGGGTTTAGTTAATAATCCCTTGTGAATGCTGCATCGGGTAATTTGCTGTGTGGGAGATAGCACACACACATACATATATACGTACATACATACATACATACATACATACATACATACATACATACATACATACATACATACATACATACATACATACATACATACATACATACATGGTTTGGCACTACTGGTAAGGCGCGACCATTGCCCCCGGGAGATCCCGGGATCGATACCCATTAAGGTCAAAAGTCCTTCCGATGGTGGAAGGCATTGCGCCCCTAGTTGATGGACGGTGGTGACCTGGGATAAAGTTAACCCGCGAGCCGACCAGGAATGGAGTTGGGCCGCTGTCGACCCGGCAGATTCCGTTGGATGCTGGTGGTGGGTGCGGAACCTGAGCGATCCACTGAGAAGTTGACTAGGGTGACTGGATGAGGGTGCCCCGAAACACCGGGGAAGGCAGGGTTTCGCAGGGTAGCTGCCACGGGCGAAGATACACCCCCCTGTTTCACACATCATACGTACATACATGCTCCCGACCCTTGCGCTGTGTTTCGGCTTCGGCCCCCGGCTCTCGCGGCCCACAGTGTAATCTAAGTCATACATACACACATACACACATACAGACATACACACATACAGACATACAGACACCTGGACTTGAATGCAGATGTGCGTGTACGTTTATGCGAATGCATGTTCACGCGCGAAAACACATATATGTGCTGTGTGCTCCCGACCCTTGCGCTGTGTTTCGGCTTCGGCCCCCGGCTCTCGCGGCCCACAGTGTAATCTAAGTCATACATACATACACGTACAAACACCGAAAAAGACGTACATATTCACGCATGATATGCAGGTGATGGTGTTGGGTTTGGGTGATGCCGTGGCCCGCCATCAAACAGTTTCCATCATTTCTCTCATTCGCCTAGTACGATTATTCAGAGTGGCATCGATCATCAAGGTACGGATGTACGACGCTGTACAACTATAGTCGTATATTTCGTAATCGTATTAAGTCTTGGGGTGTTGATGGGATATCGTGGCGGTGTCATATCCCTTGTGCGTGTCCCTTGACGTAAAAAACATTTTATTATTTTTGTCAAAAATCGCGCATTCAGGATTTAAGGTTTTGCCCGACCCATGAATGGAAAACGAAGACGAAACGTGTAAATGTATAGTACTGTATTCCAAATACCTGTTTGTCAGGGCTGCTGTAGAGATGTACGGATGCCGTACACGTGCTGTTTTGTCGTACATTTCGCGAAACGTGTTTTTGTTTTTCCCCTGTTCCCCCTCCTCTCCCCTTTTCGGCCCCGCCAGCAAGTGTACAGCAGTTCCACGGGTGGTGAGGTTCAGTCCTCGTGGGTTGCGGACCACTTTTCAGTCACCCCCTTGTACATGGCGTTACTGACCTATCTGGTAAGGTGGGGGGTAGGACTAAGAAGCACGAGTGAGCGAAGCAGATACCAGAGATAGACGGATATTGGGGTGGGGGGATAGGTGTGGGGATAACCTTTATTTTAAAATGGTAGTGATGGGTGATTGTTTTTGTCGTTTGTCGTTATTGGTTTGTCGGTAACAGGCTCCGCTCGTCCCACTTCATATGTTTGTCTGTATGTGCGACAAGTAATCTATATGTGTATATTTGTGAACGAACTGGTACTTGTGCCGAAAATGTACCTCGTCTTTCTGTGTGTGTGTATGTGCTTTGAATGCCTGAAAACCGCCCTCTTCTCCGTACCCTTTTGTACATCGCCGTACACGCCCTCTTCAGGCTATGGTGCTCGTAAATCTGTATTCATGTCTGTTGCTGCTCATTGCTCATTACGAGCTGCAGCACGGCAAGACGTCCTGGATGACGAGCATTGCGTGGGAGAATGTCGCAGAGGCAGGCGCGGCCGTCCGGTGGTATCAAGCAGTATACTTCTGCATCACCGTGGTACGACGTGTACGGCGTGTACGGCTATACATACTCATGCCTGCAGCTTTCAAACTAACGTCCACAATAATCATTGCCCATACGCATTAATAAATGGGAGCTCTTTGTCTGGAAGCGGTTGGCTGGTAGCGGGGGAGATCACGTCTGCGAGTTCTGCTTTTCTTTTTTCCTCTTGTTCGACCTCTGTCAAGTCCCTTTGGACTTTGGCAGCTGGCTTGTTTTGTTGCGTTTTGCAATGTATGACTCTTTTGCTCGCATTATTTGGCAGCCGTGTTTCCCGCCCTTAACGTTAATATTTTTTTATATTATCATTAACATTTTATTTTTTATTTTGTTTTTAATGTCTTAGTTGTTTAGTCTTCACAAAAACGAAAAGGTTTTTGAAAAGTTTTTTGTTATGTTTTCGCGCAGATGACCACGACGGGCTATGCGGACTTTCTTCCCAAGAGCCCGGCGGAGCAGGTGCTCGTGTCCGTGATGATGCTTAACGGGCTGGTCATCTTTGGTGCAGTGGTGGCGCTCATTGGCAGTGCACTTAAGCGCAGCCAGGAGCGCGCACAGGTATATAATATGACATGTTCCCACACAAGACGGTGCATGTAGGAGGTTTGCATCGGCGAAAATGTCGATGTTATAATTATACCGTCTCGCCATTTCCTTTTCATGACTCATCCAGGCCTCGGGTTCGATTCTCGCCCTTGTATTTTTTTTAGTTGGCGGGCCCTGCGGCACTTTTTTTATTCCTCTTTTCCCATCCTAGGCCGCACTGTTCGCTGTGCTGCGATGCAACACCGCGCGAAGGTGCCAAGGAGTCTTTAGTCAAGAGGGCTTTTCCTTTGTACGAATTACCCCCACGTTCCCCCTTCCTTCTTTTTCGATCCGCAACCAATGCCGCTCCAATTGCGGGTTTTTACTTCAATCCGCAGAGGGCGTACGACGACCGGAAGCAGATAACTTTGTTACGGCAATACCTTATGAAGGGGAAGGTCGAGGATGAAAGGGCGTGGGAGGGCGTGGTTCGGGAGGTCCTGGTAAGTCGTTGGGGACGGTTGGGAGTTGGGGTTGGTTTTGGAGAGGGTGTGTAGAAACAAAACTGTCGACCAGGTGTGTGCGTGTATGTGTGTATGTGCATTGGGGTGAGGCGGGAGGTTGGATTACTGGGGTGTGGAAAGGAGAACATGTATGTATGTATGTATGTATGTATGTATGTATGTATGTATGTACGAACTCCGTGGGGGCCGGTCCACCAAGTCCGAACCAACACTTCCCCCCCAGAACAGGATATTTGCCCATTTGCATCTCGGCCGTGTCGCAACTCAGTGGGTTTATTTCCTGGGCCCCCCCCATTTCCCGTTCCTTCTTCTTCACAGCGCCGACTGATTAGTTATGCCTTCTTTACTTTTGGCGCATCAGTCTTTCCTTGGCATCAGCTTCACTCACTCGTGGTTCGTCTTCCCCCCTTTCCCCTCCCCCCCTCCGCTTCTACGTTTGATGCACTCTTGCCCTGGCAGCAGCTTCAATCGTGTGTGGTTCGTCTTTCCCCCCCTCCGCCCGAATCTTCCCCCTGCAGACGTTTTACGCTGAGTTGTCCGCGCGGAGGGATGAGGGCCGTACAGAGAGCGACATTGTGTTTGAACTCCCCAGCCACCTGCGACAAGAGGTGTGGGGGGACGTAATGATAACGAAACGTTGGGCGTGGGGATAATAGGGAGCTGGGACAGACAGCAGAAAGTCTCAGGTAACAGAATTCCGGTAAGAGACAACAGAATTCCGGTAACAAACAACAGAATGCTGTAACAGACTACAGAATAACGCTACAAAGTTGTATTCTTTGCGGTACCGGTGACAGTGGTGATGATGATGATGATGATGATGATGACAGTGGTTGTTCTTGTTGTTGTTTATTGTTGTTGTTTATTGTTGTTGATGTTGTTGGCGGTGGTGGTGGTACCTTTCAGGTTTCCAAGCATGTGGTCATGGAGCTCATAGACCGGTGTCCGCTACTCAAGGACCTGCCGGAGGAAATTCAAGAACTTCTTGCCGTACATTTCGTACCCATCGAGATGCCTACAGATCACGAGATTTTCCGGCTGGGTGATGACCTGGAGGGCGACGGGGGGGGCCTGTGGCTGTTGGAGACGGGGGTGGTGGGTGCGTATCGAAACAAGGTGAGAGCTGGCCGCCGTGAACGGGCGCAAGGTGAGTGAGTGAAGAGAGGGCAAAACAGAGCAACAGGCATTGTTTGCTATTTACCAGGTATTTGACCAGAGGGGATTAATTAGAATCGCGAGTGGTGTGTAATTATACCTTTTGAAGAATTTTTTTGGGGATAAGGACGCGGCAAGTGTTGCTGTTCTCAGGGATGGCTCAACTTTAATCAAAAAGTTTTGAAGTGTTGACGATTGTGACCGGCATAAGTTAATTCCTGCCGAACTAACCGCCTTCTAACTAACCAACCAACTAACCAACAGGAACGCGTGGAGATGCCGGCAGGTCCCGCTGGCCTTGCCGTACCGTGTCTCCTGGGGGAGGCTGCCGTACTGGCCGACATCATACCCTCTTGCAGGTGAGGTTGTACGGCATTACGGGCTGGAGAATTAAGGTACAATCCAGGAATTCCCGACAGGGGCAAAAGGCAGTGATGTTGGGAGGCAAGGGGTTATCATGTCGTACTCTAGCGGCGACAAGGATGTACGGCAAGGGGAGGGCCAATAGGAACCTGGTAGGGAGATTGGGCTCAGCCGCACCCGCACAGCCCTAGTCGGCAGTGGGGGGTGGGGGGGATGGTGGGGGGTAAATTGGGGTTTGGGGGGAAGCAAGGTAACCTTTTCATTGGCTGCAATTGCGTATCCACTTTGTTGGCCACTTGATGACTTCCAAGCTTATATGTGTTTGAATGGGTGCCTAGGGTGCCGTAAGCGTGATGCGTGAGATGGTGAGCCACTCACCTAAAACCGAAGGTTACGACCAGCTCAGAACCCAAAAGCCCGAAATGGGCCTTATTCGCGATTTGAATCAGGGCCGTAGTCTCTAGAATGTTATGGAGATGACGTCCTGAGTCCATTTATAGTAATTATCTTAAACTGTGAAAATAAATAAATAATTATTGGGAATGCTTGCTACTTGAATTTGAAGTATTTTTTTCCATTATTCGCCGCTCCGAAAACCAAATTTGGGCCTCGTCACAGTTCCCGAATGTGGACGCTGCGTACGGAGCGTCCCTGCCGCTTCTGGCAGCTTCGAGAACCCGCGCTCAGAGCGTGTCTGCAGATCTACCCCAGCATTGCCGTACACGTGATGCGGTTTATCCGCAACGGCATCATGAACTGGCTGGCGGGCCTGGAGGTACCTGTGGGGGTGTCTGTGTGTTTTGGTGTGTGTGTGTGTATTAGGGTTTGGAAAGCAAAGTGTGCGACGATGGGCGCTGATTTGCGATTGGCGTTTTGTGTAGAGCAACGTGTTGAGAAGGGAAAAGAAGGAAGTACAAGAAGAAGATGCAAAGAGAATTTTATTCTATTTATGTATTATATTTTTGTGAATTATAATTTTTTATATAAATTTATATGAATTTTAATATTAATGTTTATTTTAATTTTTATACAAAAAATAAAATAAGCGGAAAGAGGCTAGGGGGCATGTATCATCTTTCTGAACGGGAAGGGAGATGAAGCCCTGACCAGACCATGAGCCATTTCCTCATCGCTACATGTGCAACTCGTAGGCTGCAAAGGCAGATTATGGAGGAGCTGATAATGAGAAGCGCGCTTCTTGATTTTGCGGGATCGTACAGAGTATCCGCACGCGATGTCCGCATTTCCTTGTTTCTTACAAGTTGGCTGTTGGCTCGGTTTCCTTTTGTTGCTCCCTCCATGCTGGTGGCGTTACTTGTACCGTTGTAGGTTGTCGGTTGGTGTGAGGTGGTTCAATTGCTCAAGCGTTCCTTCATCATGGGCCCTTTGCGGGAGCGCTTTCAGGATTGCTACCTGGCCTTGCAATTGGTGAGGGAGGGAGGGAGGGGGAGGGAGGGGGAGGGGGGGAAGGGGGGAGAGGGATTATACCTTTTTGGGCCTTGGTCACGGACATTGTGGATTTTGATTATGTTCATTACCAGCCTTGAATCCCTTGATGATTTCATACGCCGCATTGCTACATCCCTGCCTTTTACCTTGCATCTCCTGTCGTATTCTTACTCACTTTTGCCGTACATGTACGATGCCCTACTCTCAGGCCAGTCCGCAGGACGGCGCTCTTACGGAGCTGTTGTCGGCCTGGTTAGAGATGAGCGTCTCGAAGGAGATGACGCTTCAAGAATCGGTGAGAGGGGAGAAGTTTCTGTACCTTTGTGCGCCCATGTTTTGTCCTCTGCCTGTCTGTCCGCCAGTTAGTTTGGCAGGAAGCTGGTTTGGCAGTTAGTGATGCAGTTAGTTTGGCAGTTGGTAAGTTTGACAGTCTGTCCCTCCTTATGTCCTTCCGTTCAGTTGGTAAGACAATTTGTCTGTCAACCTGTCTGTCAGTCAGCCAACCTGCACATCCATCGATTGGTTTGTCTGTCTATCTGTCGGTCTATCCGTCGCTTTCTCGCCGCCTCGATTCACATGGAGCCCCCGGAGGACAATCCTACAGTATCCAAGGGCGTGTGTTTGAATGGTGATGGACGGTGTTGCGTACTGCATACTGCCTGAATTGCCTCTGGGGCCTCAAATTTTCCAGCGTTTTGTTTACAAAATAATTCTGGTAGACATTGCTAGTGGTGATTATTTATGTAGTGGACACCTGTTTTCTCTTCCTTTTTTAATTTTTTCACACATTTATGTATCTATCTTCCAGTAAAAAAAGGATTAATTGGCCCCAGATAGCTTCTGATTTTTCGCTTTTACATCAAAAAACTGTTTTGTCAAATTGAGTATCCGATAATTAATTTAAAACTACATCGTCTTGCCTTGCCCGTATTCGTCGTATTTGAAGCGGATCCCCGGGGCCTTCCCCCACCGGGCCCTTTGGCACTGCCCGCTGTCCTCTGCCCTGTCGTACTGGCCCTTTTCGCTGCGCCGTACAGTTGGACGAGCGAGAAGTCAAAGACGCACCCATGGATTGCGGCCCCTCCTGGACCACACGAGCAGCCACCGCGAACCAGGACTATTTGATTACCCCCGCCGCGACGCCTGAACATGCTCCCGCATCGCCAGTCGGATCAGACGCGGCGGGCCGTACAGCCGACGCCGCCGTACTGGTTCCATCCGTGCCGCAACAAGCTGCTGCTGCGGCGGCGACGGCAATGGCATCGGGGTTAATCCCAGTGGATGAAGAGAGTGAGCACGACCCGTGGGTCGCGGACAGCAGCGCGGTACTGTTTGCTGGCGGCGGCAGCGGCGGCAGCGGCGGCGTGCCGACGCAACAGGGTCTGCCGTGGCCGCCGCCGGCGCTGTTAGCGGCGACGTCATTGCCATTGCCGCCTGTGATGCGAGGTCCTCTTCCTTTGCGGGCCGCCAGCGGGCGGTCTAGTACGTCCACTTTGCCTTTGGCGGTAGAGAAGGTGAGTGGAAGGACATACGGAGGGACAGACTGGCGGTAGAGAAGGTGAGTGGAAGGACATACGGAGGGACAGACTGGCGGTAGAGAAGGTGAGTGGAAGGCTTTTTCGCTGCGGTGTCGTCACTGCGGCTGTAGCCGTGGGTTTGCGCCCTTTCGTACGCTATTGAATATGTCTGCCGTACTGTGGCTTACTTTTGCCGCATTGGTTGCCGCATTTCTTGTTGGCCGTTGTCGTGCTGCTAGGAACCGTCGTGTACGAACGGTCTTCGGAGCAGCAGCCGTGGGAGCGGCGGCCGCGATGGAGAGGAGCGCTCTGCGAGCGGTGTCCCGGACGACGGTAGCGGCGGGCTACGGCGCGCGCACAGCAATACGGTTAGCGGATCCATTCCCGTCGACTCTGCCGCCGCCGCCGCCGTTGCCGTACAGGGAGTGCCGGCTGGAGGCGCTGCAGATCAGGACCGATCCGCAGCCCCGGTTAACGCGACCCAGGATGGGGTATTTATGGCCGCAGCGGCGCCGCCGCCACCGTCGCCACTGCCGCCGACACACGTCTTGCCCTTTGTCTCGCCGTTTGCAGCTGCCGCGGCGATACCGCTGCTGTCGTATGGCAGCTCGGGATTTGACGCCGCCGGCGCTGCGCAGCCAGCTCCGTCGCTCTTTCCACGGCCAGTCGTACACGGTACGGCATCCGCCCAGGAGCCTGCTGTAGCCTGTTCAAGCGGTGGAGACCGTTGGTCATCGCCGTCACGGAACGCCGGACAAAACCGCCAGGCAATTACGGCGGCGGCGGCGGTGGCGGTGGCGCCCTTGGATCATGGACAGCAACGCATGTCCTCCATGGAGAGCGACCGTGCCGTACAGCGCACCGCCGCCAGCGCGTCGGCACGCTTGGATAAGGGCAGCGTCGTCGAGGGTTCGCCGTGGGTGGTGCTTCCCAGTGAGTTGGAGGCGGAGGCGGTCCTGCAGCGGAATTCAGATACCCAATGGTGCCGTACGTCTCCTTTCGGCGCCAACCGCGGTGGCGGCGGCAGCGGCCAGCATGTACTGCACCAGCAATTGTCACCGCCGTCAGGGCCGTCACCGCTGACGTCGCCGACCGCGTCGCCGCGTCTGGTGTGGTACGGCGTTGCGGCAGGCAGTCCTGCGGCCGCCGCCGCGGCGGTGGCGGCGGCGGCAGCGCGAGTTCAGCAGACGCCGATGTCGCCGAGGGGTCCCGGTGGCCTTGACCAGGGCTTGACGGCGGCAGCGGCGGCACCGCCGCCGCCGCCGCCACCACTACCAGACCAAGCACCCACCGCGGCGGCGGCACTCACAGGTCAGACAACCGATTTCCGCCTGACGTTTATATGCAAGATCTTTCTGGCCGCTGGGATGCGGGTGGAACAACTTAAACGGCTTCAGCCAAGGGTTTCGGAGCTGGCCCTCGCCGGTGCGGCCATGGCAGCAGGCACAACTGCCACAGCCAGCTCCGCCGTACCCCAGGCACCTACGATCCTCGCGCCCGCCTGCACGTACTGCGGCTGTGCCACGTGCGCGTACTGCGCTCGTCCAATCGTTCCGCACGATGCTGTAGAGGCGGTGCGGGAAAGGACCGCCGCCACCGCAGGTTCCGGAGCACTCGTCAGTCCGCCGCAGCACGCTGACTCCGAAACTGCCAATGCTCTTCCCGGAGCCGGCGGAGGCAGGGGATCCCTGCTGGCCGGCGGTAGCGCGTTAAGCGTCACGACTAGCACCAACAACTACAGCGGCGGCGGCGGCGGCGGTGGTGGTAGCCGCCAAGTCCGCAGCGTGAACCACAGCACCGGCGGCGGCGGCGGGGGCGGCGGCGGCGGCGGCGGGGGCAGCCGCCAAGCCAGCGGCGTGAACCACAGCACCGGCGGCGGCGGCGGCGGCGGGGGCGGCGGCGGCGGGGGCAGCCGCCAAGCCAGCGGCGTAAGCCGCAGCCTCGGAGGCAGCGAGTATATTGGGCCGGTACCCGGGTCGCTGTCGCCGGCGCTACCAGCTTCCGTGCCAAAGAGTCCCATGGGTCGGTTGCGACAAGATCGCGCGCGTCTAACTGGAAGCCCAATGGCCCGCACCTCATCTGCCCATTCGAGGCTTCCCTTGAGGTTACCGACGGCACAACCGTCTGCTGTTAGCAGGCTGCGCTCTGGTATCCGTGTCAGCAGCCCTAGCGGCGGCGGAGGCAGCGCCGGCAGCGGCGGCGAGCGGGCTGCAGCCGGCGGCAGCAGAGCCAGGCTTGGCAGCGGTTACGGCTACGGCAGCGCAAGGCGCGTCGGCTCCGGCGCCAGCAGCGCTCTTTCCGCCGGCGGCGGCGTTAGCGATGTCGGATTTCAGTTGTCGCCTGGCGCGGCGCTGGCGTTGGCGGCCGAGTCGGTTTCGGGCCCCGCGGAGAAGGCTACGGGCGGCGCGAGTGAGGAGTCAAACGAGGGATCGAAGCCCGCGGAAGATGTTTTTGCGGACGCAGTACTTCCTCGTAGCGGTACTATGCGGATTGTGTGATGACGGAGAGGTCGGAGCTGTCGGGAATTGCCAATCTTTTTTTTTAGCCGTTATGACTAAAATCGTCTCCATTTCTCGCTGCTTTTTTCTTCGCCTTGCCTTTTTTCATTGTGTTTTTGTGATTGTAGATTTTTTAATTGTTGTTTGAAGATGGCTTAGTTACCGCTCGCTAATATTTTCCCCTGTCTTTCCCCTATCTTTTGCAGAGGTTTTTTGACGTCTGTTCCATGTCTGCAAGGTTTTTAGGACAGGAGCCGCGCTCGCGTGTTGTGTCTTGTGCAAGAGCTGCAAAGTGTTTGCGGAATGTACGAGACGTTGTACAACGCTCGTACTTAGCTGTCTCACTGCCCCACTGGAAAGCTCCCATCCATAGTTCCAGGGTGTCTACGAAATCTCTCTATTTAAAGCTAGTGTTGGTTGTAGCCTCATTAGGACGTCATTGACTAATGCCCCAGTAGGAAATAGCCCGCAAATAAATTAAGAGACAAAGAACAGGACCACGTGCATCTTCTTTCCGTTTTGTAACATTTATTAGATGTTTAGGAGGTTGAGCTGTGAATTGCAACGAGGTGAGGAAAGATGGGGGGAACGAGGCGACGGGGGGAACGAGGCCTGAAAAGCGGCACGAAGGCGAAGAAGGCCATTTGGTCGTATGCCATATGTATGTATGTGTGTGTGTGTGTGTAGCAAAACGTATGTGTGTGTGTGTAGCAAAACGCAAGGTTGTGGCCGTGGCGGTGGTGTGTCTTTGACAAGTTAGATACCAAATTCTTATTGCCCTCTCGGTAGAGGTATAGTGACTTGGTGGTGATGGTGGTAGATCTAGAGGATATTGGGGTGGCGTGAGTGTACGGCGCTCTGCGGTGTGCGGATCGGTTGGCGTGGCGCTGCTGCATGTGTTGCATGTGTTGGAACCTCATTGCTTTTACAGGCAGCGGACGTAAGCACGTCACACACACATACATACATGTGTTGGTTGGTTGTGGTATCCACAAGGTGGGCTGCATGTCGGTGGTGTGGCACAAGAGGTCAGCTGCGCTGCCGGGGGGAGTCGAGGATTCTCGCCGCGTGGTGTGACGTGGCGAGTGACGTGGAGTGGCAAGGCAACTGAGCAGGCATCGGCGTGAGCGAGGGGTGAGGAGCTAGCGCCAGGAAATCGAACGAAGAGAAAGGGGAGTTGATTTTGTAGAATTACCTAGCATTGTGATCGTGGGGCGCGAACCCCCTTGGGGCCTGCACAGCCGGACATCACGCATGGTTGTGCATAAGTAACCCGTAATCTTTGTGGACTTCGTGAACCACCTTTTGGTGCAGCAGCATGGCAGGCGTGGCATGTGCTGTGCATCCCCTGCCAAGTACTTCAACTCTGCCGCGTTATCGTTTTCTTATTATTGGCAAAGAAAGCCACATGAAGTGTAAATTACTGATTATTGCTGATTGGATGCAAGTCGGTCGGAAGCCGCTGGTTTTGTCTCCGTCCATGTTGGCACATCTGTTTTTTGGAACGCCAGTTTGCAAAGCCTCATAATATAATGAGCTTTCGTACGCGTTCGCACAAAGCAAGCCCGTATAGCCTTCTCGCAGTTTTTAAAGGCATGTGACATACGATTTAGGCTGCTGGACATTTTATGCGGCAGAGGCGGCAAAGCGGACAAAGCCCAGAGGCGCCAGGGTAGGTAGCGCTGCGTAATGAGCTGTCCCATTGAAAGGCACGTCCTTGTGCATGCACGTAGAAATGTGCATACCAGGATGATGGATAGCCTAAGGGTGAGTAGTTTCGAGATGCTGCTCATCCGTACCCGCAACGTTCTCAATTCACTCAAACTCTTTACTACTTCGTTCATCGTGTCCATTTTGGCGTCGTGTCCTACTACTTCTTCAACGTGAATGGAGAGGCTGACTGCCTTAGCCTCCCATGCGTTGGGATGAGTCAATCTTCCGCTTAAGAGTAAGCAGTCCTCTCTAAGAGATGGAGCGCGAAAGCTCGGGATTCAGATGCCGGCGCCGCTCGGCTGATTGCCTTGTCACCGTTATGTGCCAGCTGCAGAACGAGTAGTACCCACCCTAAACCGTGAAACGACGACCGAGATGCACCAATTTCTTTGCTGATAGGGCGCTGGTTTATGGTTATGACGGCCTTTTGCCTGGTCCACGACAGATGCCGTACTCAGCCCGTCGCAGAGGCGCGCGGCGGATACATCAATGATCGAGCTTAAATCTCACAATTCTAGGCTGAACTGGAGCTGAGAACATCCGGCATAAGTAGCATCTGATCTCTCTACCCATCTCTATGGATTCCCTTTGAAAATGTGCGCATGCATGCCAGGCCAATACGTTCCCCAAGTAAATGATTTCTTGATAGGTGTAGACTTTTATGACGTAGTACCTTTTATGGCAAATGTCGATCTTATGAACGAAGCTGGTATCCTAGTTACGGACGTCGGATCCAACGAACTTGACCAACTCATAATAATCGTCATGGTCTCATAGGATCAACCTTTCTATAGCATATACAACATAAACTACTTAAAGTTTGAAAAATAGGCATACATTACGGTGAATAAGCATCGCATCTGCTGTTTTCATCGACAGGGGTAGGTCCAGCTACAGCTGCGGCGATCCACAAAGACGCAACTCACAAGTACTGATGCCACAAAGCTGCTGGATATACAATCGGCGGCCATCATCCTTGCATGTCTGAAAAAGACGTGCACAAGACAGGTTCAGCGGCGTCAACGTCCAAGTGACGGTCAACACCAACGTCAAGCTCCTGATTTGATTCTTAAAGAATCCTTCAACTAAATCTTTAAAGGTGCCAGGGACTACTGGCATCCTTCGCAGTTCGTCTTTAGCCGCCGCCCTTCAGCACCTCCTCCACCATGGTCCGAGGGGAAGATGGCGACTTACACGCCAGGGACGCACTTCAGCTCCAAGCCCCAGTCCGCTACCTATCTGAAGAATCATCGCAAAGCACCCAAGGCGACGATCAAGTTCAATACCCCTCTTATGACGATTCTTGCCTCGCCCAAGGACCATGGCGACAAGTCTTCCAAGGTCTAGGCGCGTTGGAGGCCGCCGCATCAGGTTGCCCTTCAAGAATCAGCAGCTTGGGAGGAGCTGTTGGCGCCGCCGCCACAGCTCAGCCGCCGCGTTGCACCAACCACGCAAACGTCAGCAGCGGTGGCGGCAGCTGCTGGGGCAGCGGCAACCATGAATCCGAACTGACAACTGAACAGCAGCGCCTCAACCCTCAACCCCAGCGCATCTCCGCCGGCACCTCCTCTTCCTCCATAAGCTCCCGCTACGCGCTACGACCGCTGGCGCCGCATCACCTCCATCCACTCCCCCATCCACAGCCCCAACCCTCGCTCCCCGCTCCCCATCACCCGTACGACACAGAAGATAGGATCCTGACCCAGCAGCCGCCGCCGCGCCCCGGAGACAGCAGTAGCAGCGGCGGCGGCGGCGTACGTCTCTCCCCTTGCGACCTGATTGGTTCCGGATGCTATCCCCAACATCGCCGACCTCATCACCAAGCGGAGGACCCTCGTACGGAGCCGGAAACCGCCAGCGGCGGCGGCGAGTTGATGGTAAAGGTGACGGGGGGGGCAGTAGCACCTGAAGCTTCTGCCCTGAGGCCGCCCGTCGGCGGCGGCACTGGCCGCAGTTGCGGTCGCGGTGGCCCTCGGCCGGCGCTTCTTGAGCTCGGGTCCCCTTCCCATGACGGCATGTGGCAGCGCCGCTGCGCCAATCCACTGTACGGCAGCGGGAATAGCAGCAGCGGTGGCGGCAGCAGCACTAGCAGCGCTAACGTCATGCTCCAGATGGGCGTGCCCGTCACAAGTGTACGACCTCTGCCCCCGCCGCCGCTGCCGCCGCGGCGGTTACGTGCCGGGCCCTTGCTGGCGATGGCGGTCCCATCTGACAGCGGCAGTAGCAGCCGCAGTAGCGACGGCGACACCGACTCGGTACGTAGCGGTGATCCAGTGCTGCCGCTGCCGCTACCGTCGCCACTGTCAAGGCAACCGCAGCCGCCACTGCGGCAGCCGCCATCACAGGGACAGCAGGACCAGCCGTCGACGCCGTCGCCACCTTCCCCGGCCTCAATTGAAACTGCCAACGAGCCCGATGCGGCTGCGGCAGACCCTGTGACGTGCGAACGTACGGCAATGGGGCCATTGCAGGATACAGTAGCAGAAGACTCTCCTCCGCATGTAGAGGTGCGCGGTAGTCCTGTTACTCTACCAGCCGTAGCTGCCGCCGTTGAAGTTGCTACAGCCCTGTACTTCCCGCCGCTGCCCGCCGACTCTGCTGATGTCGGCCTAGTTGGGGCAGCGGCGGAGGCGGTTGTGGCCGCCGCGGAGAGCGACTGCGTTGAGGCCGTTAGCGTTCGTCAATCCGCACGTTCGCCGCCTGCGTCTCCTGCCGAGAGCTATATGGCTTTGGATGGCGGTGATGCAGCCTCTGCTGCTTGTGGCGGCGACGTCAACGACAGCCGTGTAGCAGGCGGTCATGGAGACAGGGAAGGGTGTGCCGTGGCGGCGGCAGCGGCGGAGCCGCCACTGCTGCCAAACATTCAGCAGGGCATCACGCCCAGCAGTAGCACTGACGGCGGCAGTGGTAGCGGAGCTGTAGCTGGCCAAGAGAGTAGTCGTAGCGATGGGTCCTGGGCGGCCGCACTGACGATGACCGTTACGGTGTCGAGCGGCGGCGACGGCAGCGGGCGCGACGTTGCTGCCGTACCGACGCCTTGTGTCCCCGATGAGAGCCTGTTGGCGGAATCTAATGCCGTACTACAAGATGGCGCCGACGGCGGCCCAGGCTGCCGCGGACAAAAATCGAGTCCCATGCGGGCGTCGCTTGGTGCGACTGGTGTTGTAACCACTGCTGCTACTGCCATTGATCTGCTAACGGCGGCTAATCAGACATTCCTGGCGGAGCGCCCTCCCTCCCCTTCGCGGCTGGATGCCGCAGCACCAGCGGGGGCGGAAGCAACAAAAGACGATATGGAGGCAGAGCAGAAGGAGCAGCAGCAGCAGGAGCGCCTCCTCCGCGCGGCTACAGCCTCCAGTCAGTGTCGATCCGCGCTACAGCTGCTGGCAGCGGATCTGGCCAGCCGACTTCGCGCCGCGTCATCGCTTTCGGACCGCTGTTACTGCTGCTACAGCCACGGCGGTGGCGGTGAAGAGACCCTTGTGGGTGCCGTACCCACGGCGGCGGCGGCAGCGGCAGCTATCCGGCGGGGGGGCCAGGCGGTGTCGCCGTCCGAGCTGTCCAGCCTCCGCGTGCAAGTTGAGGCGGTAGCGCTGCTTGTATCGGCGGTGCCGTACATTGCGACGGCGGCAACGGTGACCGCTGGCGAATGCTCCTCGCCCGCAGCTCCGGCGGAAGCACAGCTGGTTGACGGCTGTAGCGGCACTTCCGCCGCGACGCTGCAACAGCTGTCGGAGGCGCTGCTGGCGGCTGTCGATACCGGCAGATGCCGTCGGCACCACGCCACGCAACCCTGCGTGCTGGCGGCACCGCTGGCCAGTCTTGCGGAGGCCCTTAGTGGCTGGACAACGGCCGTCGTCAGCGGCGACAGCAGCGGCAGCGGCGGCGCCTCTGCCGCCGCAGCGGCGGAGCTGGCCACCCGGCTGTCGCAGTGCGGCGCCTGGCTGTTGCACTACAGCCGCCAGGCGGCACAACTGGCGGCGCCGCCGTCGCCGTCGTCGTCAACAGCCCCCGAGGTGCTCCCGGGTTCGCCAACTTCGACTGAGGCTGCGGCAGAAAGCTGCATCATCGTGACTGGGTTGAGACAGGGGACACCGGCGCAATCAAAGGCGAAAGTTGTGGCGGAATCAGCTATTGCCGCAGAGGCTAACGTGCTGCCTCTTGCGCCTCTGCAGCTATTGTCGCCGAGGACTAGCAGTCCAGGTGACATCCGCAGCGGCAGGTGCGATCGATTTGTCCGGAGGACCGACGGCGACGCCGGTGGTGACGCTGCTTTACTGGATTCCGTGACAGACGCGTTGGCCCCGTCGGCGGCGAAGTCCTTAAAGCACGTCAAGGCCAAGGTTGCCGCTGCCGTATTGACGGAATCGGTGGAGGAAATGGTCTCTGCTGTGCAACTTGTCATGTACGACGGCGAGATGGGCATGTACGGCAGCAGCGCCAAGGATGACGGAACCGGCAACGCCTGTAGCTGTACCGTAAACGAAGAGGTGATGAGTGATCGCATCTGTACGGCAGCGGCGGAGGCGGGGCGGGAGGAGCAATTCACCGTTCCGAAGGTGATGCCGCCGCTGATGGTGGCGGCGGCAGAGACAGGAATGGATGACGCGCTTCAGGACGCCGCTCCTGTAATTGTGACGGTGACGGCGAAGCCGGCGGCTGGTCGTCAGCTAGTCAGCGGCGCACGGGATGCGACGGCGGCTGCCGTACTCGTCATCCCGACCGCCTCCGCCAAGCCCCGGACGCCGCGACCGCCGCTACCGGACGCGCCAGCGGCGGCGGAGGCCCCCATCACCACCGATCCCCAAGATCATGCATCCCACCAGCTACACCACCAACATCAAGACCAGCAGCTGCAGGAGCAAAGCAGCGAGCAGGGCCTGCCGCCGCCGCCGTCGCCGTCGCCGCAGCAGACTCCGCAAAAAAAGGATAATCAGGGGCTTTCCGCCAGCACCGCAAGCCGCAGCCCCAAGCCCAGCCAGATCGATCGCGCCGCCGGCCTCCTTCGCACCGCTCAAGGTCAAGTACGGCCGCCTCTGCCAGACAGTACGGTAGTATTGCTGGCGGCTCTGCCGGGACCCTTCACCTCGACGGCGACGTCTTCGAGAGCGCCGAAATCGTCCGCTGCCCGATCGAGGGACGAGTACGGTTTGTGGGCTGACGTCGACCAGCTGCTACAGGAGGTCGTTGCCCTGGCGGCGGTGCCGGCGGCGGCCCAGGAAGGTACGACAGGCATGGCAGGATTTCGAGTCCTCCGAGGTGACGACCCGGAGGATCCGAAAGGGGCTGTTCCGAAGGGTGATGAGTCGACGGCAGCTGCAGCGGCGGTGCTCGCTGCGCGAGCGCACTTGCTGCTTGGCGTGTTGGCCGTCGCGACAGCTGACGGCGCCGCGGGCGAGGCGGCGGCAGCCGCGGCGGAGGCGCTCATCAGGCCCAGGTTGGGCTGTGGCCCGGCGTTAAGCGCCGCGTCCGGTCTTATCACGGCAGCGGCGGTGGCGGCGGCGGAGAATATTGGGGGGTCGGGAGGCGGAGGTGCTGGTGATTGGCGGCGGCTCGAGTGCATGGGACTCCTGGCGGAGGCAGTCGCCCTGCGCGGCGCGGTACGGGAGGTCCGCGGCAAGCTGTACGGCGCAACGCGGCTGTACGACGAGGCACTCGCGCTATGCCAGACGGAGGTGAGTGCTTGCCTTTGACGTGCGACTCTTTTAAGAAAAGGCGGCTGTGAGGTCGGAGCTCCGTTGTCTGTGGTAGCCGGTTTGTGAATGATGTGTGTGAGTCGAGTGAGATAGGGAGCCTACCGGGGCCATACATATATACATACATACATACATGCATACACAAAAACGCTCACATCATTGGACTGTCCTCACAGGTACTCGGCTGCAACCCGCCGGCGCACCTGCTGCTTCTGAGAGCCGCCCTCGCGGGTGCACGCGCCCGCTGCGCCGTACGGCTGGCGACCATCATCCCCTTCGCCGTCGGCGCCTCGCCGCGCTGCAGCCGGTGGTCCGACACGGCGGTGCCGGTAGACCCATGGGTCATGCCCTGGCCCATCGCCTGGCACGTTCTCAACCGTACGGTGAACGACGACAGCGTAAGCTGCAGTGACGGTGGCGGCGGCAATGGCAGTAGCGGCGGCGGCAGCGGCAGTAGCGGTGGTGGCAACAGCAACGGAGGCGCCTCTTTTGTGCGAGGGATTGGGGTCCAGGTGGGACCCGCGGCGGCGGCGCAGAAGCGGTGTATGCTGCTACTGCCATCCCTCGCGCCGAGACCCTGTCCCCGCGTGGCGGCGGCGGCCGCGTCCGCTCTCACTCAGGTCACAGCAGAGTTTTGCGCTGTGTGCGAGTTCCTCGCTGCTACTGCCGTCGAACCGCCGGCTTCGGATGACCCATGGGTCGCGACCGCCGCGCCGCTGCCGGCGCTTGCGGAGGTGGCCATGGTGCTGGTACGCTTACAGTTGCTGGCGGCAGGGACGGAGACGGATACGCCGGGGCAGTTGTCGTCACCGCCATCGTCGCCGCACAGGGCCGCCCCTTCCCGCCACGACCGGGCTGTCCTACTGCACGAGGCAGCTGAGTTAGCTTGCAGCGCGCTCCGCTGGATGCTGGTCGCCGCCGCCGCCGCCGCTGAACCCACCTGTACGGCAGGGACGACGACGGCAGCGCGAGAACAGCTGCCACCTCGTTACGCTGAGTCCGCACTTCTGGCGGCAGTGTGCGTGGCGGCGGCGACGCCACCGTCCCGTCTTCCGTCGACGGGGTCCAGCTCCGCCGTCGACAGCGGTGCCCACGACCACGTTGTGCCGTGCGCTGACGGCGGCGCAGGCCCGGTGGTTGCGGCAATCGCAGCGATGTCGGAGAGAGCCCCTGCATCAAGCGATGCGCCGCCTCCGCTGCCTCCTCCGCCAGTGGTGGAGGTCTTGGCTGCAGGGGGCGCTGGCGACAAGGACTCTTGGGAGCGAGCTTGGGAGTGGGGCAAGATGGCGCTGAGCGCCCGGCAGGAGGCAAGTATGGGATACGCCATATATTGGGGTTCCATACCAGACAAGATGGATAACGGTCAGGCAGATAATACGTTGATAGCGGTGATAAACCCTAAGTAATGAAATGCATGTACTATTAATAGGCACACACATATAGCGAATAAGGCTGCTCATTTTATGGAGAATATGCTTGTGCACTTTTCCTCTCACGCGCCCGCGCAAGCGAACGCAACCTCAAGAACTATTTGCAAGGCTTCATTTACACACACTCGCAAGACCACCCCGCCAATGCCATGCTTTTTCAAAATGCATCTCCTTTTTTCCCTTGTGCGATGTATTTTGTTACCTCTGGTCGGGCCCCACACACCGCGGTACGACGGCGTTGCGCTTACAGCTATACGGCGTGGATTCGGATCCAGCTCTGGAGGCCCAGGCGTTCCTAGCCCACGTGGCGGGTGCGGGACTGGGGCTGTGGCATGTGGCTGAGCCCCTGCTGCTGAGCCTGGTGGCGCTGCGAGGAGAGCAGCTAGGGCCGGCGCACCCCGTCACGCAGGCGGCTGCCGCGTACTACCTGGACCTGCTGCTGCGCCACCAAAGGTAACCCCGGCCCCCCCTCGTGTGGTGTGTCCCCCCCCCCACCACCACCTTGTTGCACAGGGCTGCTGCAGAGGGACCTGTGTGTGACCCGTGGGTCACTTGGTCGGCTTGGACAATAATAACGAGGGTAAAATTGTTGCAGTAGCAGTCGATATAGGTAGCAGCAGTGTAGCAGCTGTAGTCGGGAATAGCTCTTTTCAGGGGCAGACTCCCCTAGGGCGGCTCCCCTGGTACTGGACCTGACCTCGAGTGTGTTGGTTTAGTGATTAAGTTCCTCGAGTTCATCTATTTCCTCTAGTTCTCCTAGTTGAAACCCTGAAACCCTCTTTCCTAGGGGCCTCTTTCACCCTAGGGCCCATTTCAGAATTGAACGGAGGACGCGTGCATGAGTTGGCTCATGTCCTTAGTATTACAACTTTGCGCATGTGTTGTTGTTTACTCATGCTCTGCTGTTTTCCTGAGAGCCCAGCACAGCACAGCTGCCTCCCTCGCTGGAGGTCTGAGACCGACAAACATTCCAACTCGATCCAACGTGCGACAACAACAACTTGCTCTGCCCCCTGACGCTTCTTGGCTGACGCATGCGATCTGACCGCTACTTACCTACTTATTACTCTGGAGCCCACTGTAACAACCACACACTTACCTACTTATTGCTATAACGCCATTGAGTAATCCAATCCAGCCTATATGCCATCGCGTTTCCCTCGCCGCCATCCATACTTCTCATCGCCACAGCCATAGGTTTACGGAGATACACCGACCCATACAGACATACATACAGACACACGTGCGCGTGCGCGCGCGCGACTAATCCCTTCGGTCGAACTTCAAACTTCGCCTTCTCTCCCCTTGTTGCCGCAGGCTCCGCACCGCCGAGAACGTCCTGCGGCGGCTACTGCCCAGAGCCCTAGCCCACCAGCGTCAGCTGCTGCAGCAGCGCCAGCCGCCGCAGCCAGCGCAGCACTCCGCCGCTGGTTCCAATCACACCACATCCACCAACGCCGCCGCAGCAGCAGCCAGGACGGGTTTCCGAGCCACCAACAGCAGCGGTGGCGGCGCCGCTTCCACTGTATCAACCGTACACCGCTCCAGGACTCCGAGCGCGGGCAGCGGCGGCTGCTCTGATGAGCACGCAACAGCCGCGGCAGGGCCTTCCTCGCCTTTCTCATCCTCTTCGCCAGCAGGAGGAGCTGGCGGCGTCGCGGTATCTGCGTCGCCGTTGCCGCTAGTGAAGCTGCAGCACCGGCTTGAGGAGCTCAAGCGTATGCATGTGCCGGCGGCGGCGACGGCGGCGGCGGATGAGGCCGAGCTTGAGCCGGAGGAGGCCCCTCACGAAGCGGCGGTGGCCCCGCTAGACTTGCTGCAACCCGCGGCGGGAGTACTGCAACCCGCGCAGGCGGCACAACCGAAGGCAAGCGCGCCGCGGACAGGTGCTACTGATAATATCGGTGCCGGTGCTACTGCCGTCGTACAACCGACGGGGACGGGTCCTGCGGGTAGCATGTCCAAAGCATCCGGTCCAGTTGTTGTGAAAGCGGTGCCGGGTAGAGTGAAAGCCGCGGCAGCGGCGGCGGCGGCGCCACCGCCGTCAGCGTCGTCTCCGAGGCCGCCGGCACCTCAGGGCGCCCCTGGCCTCGCTCCTCCCTCGATGGCCACAGCCGGCGGCGGCAACAACGCCTCCCCTGGACCGGTGCGTCGAGGCTCATCAGTGCCGCGACCATTGCCGTGGCCGCAGCAACAAATCGCGTTACAAAGGACGCAGGCAATGGCGCCGGCAGCAGCTGGAACACAGGCGGCGGCGGCGCCGTTAAACCCGTCAGTAACGGCGCTGGCGGCCCCGAACCAGCAAGCACGGACACAGGCGGTGCCGGCCAAGGTGACGACGACGGCGGCACCGGCGGCGGCGGCGGTGGCAGTACGGCGGCAGCAGGCCCGCTCCCCGAGGACTCAATCTGCGGCGGCGGCCGGTGCAGCGGCTGCGCCCGTGGCAAAGACCGTTGCATTACAACCAGCTCCGGCGGCAGCGTCCCGTGCTTCACCGAGGTCGGCAGTGACGCGTCCCAATGAGGCGCCCTTGATGCAGCAAGCAATGAGGTCAATGCTTGCAGGGACCGGGCTGCTGTCCGCGTCGGCGCCCATAGCAGCTGCAGGTGCGCCGGCGGCGGCGGCGGCGGCGGGAAGCTCCGCCAGCCGATCTCAACCCAAGCTGCTGGCGTTCCGTCGAGCGGCGGCGGCGCTTCGTAAGTCCGCGGAGGCCATGGACGCCGGCGGCACAGATGGGAAGGCGCGTGCTGGCGTCCTCACTGTGGCGGCGGCGGGTAACGGCCGTACGGCAACTGCCGTTGGGGCCGGCAACACGTCAGCGGCCGGGGAGGCGCCGCCGCCAGCACCATCTCCGAGGCCGTCACTTAAGTCAGTTGCGGCGGCATTCAAGGCCGGGCTGACGAGCTCGCCGTCGGCGCCGTCGCCGGTCGCGAGAGCTATGACGGCATCGCCGTTGTCCAGCCGATTTGTGGCTGCGGCTTCGGAGCGCGATGCCTTGACGTCCGCGAGAGGCGCTCTGGGACGTTCCTGGCAGGGTCTCAAGCAACAGCTGGAGCCTAGGGTGACGCGGACGCTTGCCCCTAGCGAAGAGAACCGTGCCGTTGCAGCCCTAGGAACAGAGGCCATGGCGGCGACAGCGCCGATGCCGGAGCCAGAGGCTGCTCGTAAGGCCAACGCTGCGGCGGAAATGGAATCTGACGCAGCGAAGGTGGAGGCTGCGGTGCAGGCTGTAGCGGAAGCCGTGGCGAAGGCGCATGCGGCGGCGAAAGCAAGGGTCACCAGGAAAGGGGAGAGGGTCGGGAAGGCAGAAGCTGCAGCGAAGGCAGAAGCTGCAGTGAAGGCTGAGGCCGCAGCGAAGGCTGAAGCCGCAGCGAAGGCTGAAGCCGCAGCGAAGGCTGAAGCCGCAGCGAAGGCCGAAGCCGCAGCGAAGGCGGAAGCCGCAGCGAAGGCCGAAGCTGCAGTGAAGGCTGAGGCCGCAGCGAAGGCCGAAGCCGCAGCGAAGGCGGAAGCCGCAGCGAAGGCCGAAGCTGCAGTGAAGGCTGAAGCCGCAGCGAAGGCGAAGGCAGCAGCCAAAGCGGAAGCGGCTGCGAGGAAAGCCGACAGTGCTGCGAAGGCCAAGGAAAGGAAAACGCGCCGCCGAGCGGACATCACCACCTCCACTTCCGTGACGGTTCTGCCAACGGCCGCTGCTGCAGTGGTGCAGAGTTTCCCCGTCGCAATATCCCCTCGTGCTGTCACACACACCCATGTCGAGTCGTCAGTATTGCCACGGCACAACACGCATACGCAAGCCGTCTCCAGGTCGGCGCCAAGGGAGAAGCCGTTGCCGTCCTGCGACGATGTACGTTATGATCCGGATCCGGATACAGCGCAAAGTACAGCGCAAGCCGATGGCCAGCCTGACATGGCGGGTGTGCCGTCAGGGCCGCCAGGAAGGCCTGAGCTAGAGGCGGGTGTGGGCAGAGACGGCGTGATTGTGGGGCACTCTGTTTTGCATGGGGTAAGCAGGGCGGCTGCAGCTGCAGCTGCTGCTGCTGCCCTGTCGGCGCCTCTGAAGGCTGAGCAACAGCAAAAGGCAGAAGTCACGCTGCAGCCGGAGTCGGCTAGACTACCGCCAGGGTTGTCGTCTTCAAGGACGGGGACGGACCCCGGCACTGAGGAGCTTCAGCCGCCGCAGCCATCAGTTTCGCCCATGGTGATGCAGCGCGGCACAGTCACCTCAGCGACACTGTCGGCGGCGGCGGCGGCGCTGCTGCACGCCGGGCGACAACCGTTACCCGAGGAGCCGCTGCCGCCGCTGCAGCAGCAGCACCGGCGAGCTCCTCCTGCACTATCTCTGGCGGCGTCCATTTCAGCGCTGCTGACGGCGGCGACACCGGTGGCTTCGCCGTCGGCCAAGGGGTCTCCGCCAGAAAGTGGTCATGCCTCGCCATCGCCATCGCCGCTGCCAGCGCTATCCCAGCTTGGCGGTGGTCCTATTAGGTCAGGACGATCGCCGGGATCACAATCGGCGGCGGCGGTGCAGCCGCCGCCAGCTGCAGGAGCAGCCGCTGTCGGCAGGTCACGCAACGACGGCGACGTCAGCGTGGCGGAAGGTGGAAGAAAGGCATTACTTGAGGTCGAGTACAGTGGGGATGCGGATGAAGATGAGGGTGTTCCCTTGCAGCCGTTGCCGTTGCCGCCGCCACAGGAGCCGCCGCCGCCGCCGCTGCAGACCCTCAGGGAGCCGCCACTGGCGTCACCGAGTTCCCCCGGCAGCGGCAACGCGACGGCGACGGCGGCGTCGGCATTATTGGCAGTATCTGGATCGCGACGCCGTGTAGCGGACACCTTGCCGTCGCCGCTACAGCCTCGGCCCTCCTCAATCGACTGCTCGGCGCCAGTGCCGCTACAGCCTCTTCCCCTGGAGCCGTTGCCGTCGATGCAGGTTCCTGCGCCGTCAGTACAGCCGATGCCGGCGGCGGCACCCGGCGCATTGGCGGCCGACTCACCGGCGCTGTCGTGGACCTCCGTCAAGCCTGCCGTACCGGCGGTGGGCGCCCCGGAGGAACTCAACGCGGGCGTGCGGGTTTGCCCCGACACGGACATCGCCCTTCTTCATCTCAGACGATCGCGACGGGGTTTAGGGCTACAGCCGCTGGAGGTTGGCAGCAGCGGTTCGGCACGTGAGCGTGACGGCGGGGGGAGGAGTCAGTCGCACAGCCCGTCGCCACTGGAGACGGGCGAAAGTCCGGCGGGCGCGGCAGCGGCGGCGGTCGAGGCGGCGGCGGCGGCGGCGGCCAGGCGGAAGGGTCCTGCCAGGGCAGGGCTCCGAGACATATTGGATGATGGGCGGCAACATCAACAACAGCAGCAGCAGCAACAGGTGTGGGAGGGCTCGGACAGCTGGCGGCGTCACGTGGCAGGCTTGGCGCCGCTGCCGCGGCAGCGGCTGCTGCCGCAACCTGGGGAATGGAGAGGAGCAGAAACTGCCGCCGACCAAGCCGCCGCCGCTGCCGCCGGGGCCGGGGCGGCAGTGGCAGGTGCAGCACCTCAGCAGTTTAAACCCATCGGCGGATGCACCGGCGGTCGCAGTCGGAGCACCGCCAATGGCGACATCGTTGGAGATACGCTCCGCGACTCATGGGGCCCGAGCGCTATGCGACGAAGGACAGCGGAGCCGTTCACCGCGCAGTTCGATGACGACGAGGACGATGACGGTGGTGGTGGCGGCATCGACGCCATCACAACCGGACTCGTTACAGATCGAGTGGGTCTGGAAGGGGATGCGGGAGGAGGAAGAACTGCTAGAAAGGGCTGGGGGGTACCGCTGGGAGCTGCTGGGGGGTTTGTTGGAGTGGGCGCTGCTGGCGGTAGCCGATTGACGGGAACTCTACGGCGGCAAAGAGCATCGCTGTCGGCGCGTGACGGCATTCATTTGGCACGCGGTGAAGTAATGGCGGAGCCGCAGCTCGGTACGGCCGCAGCCGAGTGGGGCGCTGCGGTGGTGGTTACCGCCTCTGTGGGAGGGGCCGGTACTGCGGAAAAAGAGAAACCCTCTGCTGGAAACGGCGCGGAGGAGGAGGAGGAGGGGGAGAGGCTTCGACCGCTGCGGCGGCGGCTGCCGCCGCCGCCAGCCGCCCTGGGCGGCGTGGCTGGGGTCGAGTGAGGAGATGTTGGGGAGAGGTAGGGGCTGTCGGGAGGGGCTGCAGCCCGGACAAGGACAACCTCACACACCTGACAGACACACACATACATACACACACCCATAGGATCTGGGTTAACGTGGTGTGTGTGTGTGTGTTGCCGTGCCCACATGAAGAAGCGTGTGACTTTGTCTATTGCTCCATTGTAAGTTTTGTTAGCTCGCTGAGAGGTGTGTCTTGTCTGTGGGAGCCGCAAGAATGAAGATCGTCGAGTGGATGTTTGGCGGCGTGTACGTGTGGTGTCTGCATGTATGTATGTGTGAGTGTGTGTGCCAGGTGGTGTATATTGCATGTTTCGCTATTTGCGCGATGCAAAAGAAGAAGAAAATGGACCTAAAACGGTGATGTGGCTTTTGAGGTGACACGAATGGGGCTGAAAAGGAGTCGTCTGGGGAATGTTGATAGCGCCGAAGCTGTCCCGGTGCTGTTTCGGTTCCGGAGCGACTCCCGGCCAGAGGCATGGTTTGTGTGCCCACATGCGCCGTTAGGCGGTTGAGCGCGGGTTGGTTGGCATAACTACCCGAAGTTGTCCTGTTGTGGCAGACCTGTTGTGGCAGATGACTAGAGACTAATTATCCAACCAAAACCAATACAACAACCTAGGTGAACACGTAGGTGGTAGGTTAGCTCAGCCTTAGGGTTTAGGGCTATGTTGCAGCAGCTCTCAACTCTGTGCTATGCACTCATGCTACCGCCGTGCGGTTGTGCCGTGACGCTTAAATGTTGATTTCTTTCTCTTGGATTGGCTTGCGTTGCAGCCTTGAAATTGGATTTGGGTTACGTTGCGTTGGAATTGATTTAGGTTTAGGTTCGCTGTGCATGCCTTGTCGGATCTAGATCCGCTTTCTATATCATTGGTCGCATTTGGATCAATCGCCATACATGCGTACGGATGGCAGCTTGGATGCGTTGGACGAGCGCATCCTGCTGGACCGCCGGGGCGCGGCTTAAGAGCGTTCAATCCAGCTAGCTTCGTGGATGTGGATGCATAACGTATAACGCAACGACGCGGAGTGGCCGTCTGCCTGAGGTTTGGTGGACAACAAACAAGAGTGAACATTAGCAACGTATGAGAGCGTATGTATTAGACACATGCGTATGACACAGCGGGCTGCTGGAGGGCCCGGAAATCGTAAGGAATTGGCCTAAGCGATGAAAGCGCGCTGGGCCACAGCACAGTATAGCAGTACTGCTCATCGCATAACCCTCGTAAAAATCTTAACGGGCCATATGCGAGTCTTTTCGTGTAGTTTTGTGCGGCCGTGCGATAACAGATTTCTCTGTATTGGTCCTTTTTTTGTGTGTGGGGGGAAATCCGTGAAGTTCCAATTAAAGTAAAGCCGGGGTCGTCGTGCCCGGGCCGAGAAGCTTTGGCACTTAACGCAGAGTAGAAAGGACGTCGTTTGCGCTGTTGTTGAGCTCCTCCTTGCTTGAGTGATTAGGTATGTTGGGACGATGGATACCTTAACGTTGTGAGTTGCAGAGGCGAAGGTGTGGCGGCTGCAGCCTTGTCGTTCCCAAGATAGAGTTATGGCGGCATCAGATGAGCGGAGTTTCTCCTTCGTGAACGACACGCTTCTGGAGACAAGGCTAGATTCTTTACCAAAATGTTCCAAAAGTATAGCTATATTCCAATTCTAGTAGACATTATTACAGCTTTTGGAATACACGGGCTGCAGGGCCGCTCGTGTCATTGTGTTACTGGGGCAGCGCGACTGCGGGAGCGGTGAGAAAACAAGTCCCGCCTGTAATATCGGAGATGCTGAGGGATGTGAGCAGTTGTCGACCGCCGACCGTCCTCGGTCATAGCGCGCGCGGTAGCCTCCTCTTTATTATACCCTGAGAGATTCGTTTTTATTAGCTCGTCTCTGCCCGTTCCTTATCAATAAGCAATGGCAAATGAATGAGTACATAGTTACCTTGTAAAAGGCTCTTTCGTTCAAGCTCTCTCGAGGCTACTGAATTTCGTTAAGAGGCTGCGGGTCCATCTCCGTGTGCCTGTTTTGTTATCGATAAACAGCAATACATCACCACAAACTGGCTTACAAATCACGACACCCACGACACTACTTCCACCGACTTCAAAGGCGGTGGACCTGCTGTCATGTGTTGTGATGTACGAACGACATTCTATGTTTCGAGCCAATAGCCGTACAGGAGCCACACGTTCGTTACCTACGGCTATGGACCCAACGGTAATGGTACGTACGTCCGCGAACATACGAGATTAATTACTACTAGTTCGCTGTCCTGTGTGTTCGGACTTTGTAGACCCAACACGGTGCCGCCACTCGGCAACGCCTGTAGGAGATGGCAACGCGGTTGAACATCGAAAAAAAGATCTTTCCGGGGTCAACTGAGGGCCCCCAATCCCCACAAAACTGAGGTGACCGGGAGAGGTTCAGGCGCTCCGCTGCTCCGTTTTGCTCTGGTGTATACGGGGCCGACTTCTCATGCACAATACCCCTCTCAGAAAAGAAGGAGGCAAGGCGATCGTTGACGTACTCCGTGCCGCAATCAGTTCGGACGCAACGAACTTCTAGACCAGTCTGCCGTTCCCACTTAGTCAAAACCTCACGAACAGCAGCGGGGACTTCGCTCTTTGCGCGAACGCAACGAACCTCGGAGTATTTGCTAAAATCGTCGTAGAAGGTAGCGAAGTAGTTGGCTCCACCCAGCGACGTGACCGGCATCGGGCCGCAAAGATCCATATGGACGAGGTCGAGCACGCGTTCGCCCTTGTGCGTCGATGAATGATGGGGGCTGCGGGTCATTTTTCCCATAACGCACGGCTCGCAGACCTTGCTCTCCGGACGAAGGCTTTCCTCGCGGCATGTGGGCTCCGAATGGACCAGGTCGTCAAAAAACGGCCTATCAAAACGGGTGAGGCTAGCATGCCCCATGCGACGATGCAAGGTGTCTAACTTTTCCTTGGGAAAGCGATGCAGTGATAATGCCCTATTCCACTCGGCATCTGGCTGCGCAAGCACGATGTACATCCCGTTCTCCTCGAACACATCGACAGCGGGAATTCCGTCTATTGCTATATACGAGCAATCGGCGGACAGGACAACCTCTACCACCTGATCCGGGAAGGATCTCTTCAGGGCCTTGACTGAGAACAGGCGGTGTTGCAGGTCCGGAACTACGTGTACAGGTACCGACAATTCCGTCTGCCCTCGAAAAGAGGCGAAAACCGCCCTGCCCTCACCAATCGAGCTAACCGTCCGCCCATCCGCCACCTCANAAACGACACCCTCGCCCTCGCGCACCGGCTTCAGACCCTCCACGTCCTCAGGCGTGAAGGTCAGGTGATCCTCGGCTCCAGTGTCGAGA